AGGGGCACTTGAACTCTGAGCCACATCCCAGCTCTATTTTGAGATAGGGTCTTGCTGAGTTGCTTAGAGCCTTGCTTTTGCCGAGGCTGGCTTTGAACTTGTGACTCTCCTGCCTCAGCCTCCCGAGCTGCTGGGATTACAGTCATGCACCACTGAGCCCGGCCTCCATATTTTTTAATTGGTGCATTACAGTTGTGCCTACGGTGGGATTTGATGTTACATAGTTGTACATGCACACAATGTAACTATATAATTTGGCCAATATCACTCCCAGCACTTCCCCCCTCCATCTCCTATGTCCTGATCCCTCCTCTACTGACCTCCCTTTGACTTTCTTGAGACCCTCCCCTGCCACCATACGTTTCTTTTCCTTTCTTTTCCTTTTCCTCTCTGGTTTCCACATACCTTGAGGTTTCCCAACCCTTGAGTTTGGCATATTTTACAAACATCATGGTCTCTAGGTCCATCCATTTTCCTGCAAATGACATATAATTCCATTCTTCTTTGTGGCGGAATGGAGCTCATTGCGTATATATACCTCATTTTCTTTACCAGTGACACTTCTGTGGGCCAGAGATGCAGAATCAACCAAATCAGTAGACAGAGCTGTGTTTTTAAAACATGACCTTTTGAATTTTAGCACAGTTTCAGATCTAAAGAAAGCGGGGGGATAGGCCAAGGGATCTGGGTAAATCCCACCTTCACTTTCGTGGTCCTGGAGAAGCCAGATTTAAAGATAGGTAGTCAGTGTAGTTAGGTAAGTTGGGTCTAACATGGAGTAAAATCGAAAATGAAGGCCATGTTGAGAATGGAGTCCGGGAAAAGCAGAGCAGAATGTTAATGTCCCCAAGGCCCAGAGCCCATCCCAAAGAAATGTTAATGAAACAGCTTTCAGCAAACTTGGAGATGCTGACCCCAAAGTCCTTCCTGCCCAGATTACTTCTTTGGCCCACCTGTGCCCCACCCTTCGGGCCTTCCCACCTACATGCCATCACTGAAACATAACAGAACAAAGGACAGGAATGAGGGGGGGGGCAGATGAAGACCTTAGCTATAAAAAGGGGAAGACTTTGCCCTTCCATGGATTCCACCTCTTGGGTCCCCTTCTTCCTCCGGGAGAAGTCTTTTCTGCTGTCCTTAATAAAGCTTCTACTTTCCACTCTGACCTTGCCTGGGTGTGCTTCTCTGGTGTTATACTTCAACATGGGGGAAGCAAGGACGCTCAACAGCGGTGACACTGGCGTCACCATCACGTGGGACGTCTGTCACAACTGATGCGCCATTCCTGATGCCTCCTGGTGACTGAGTTCAGGTTTCCCTTGTCACTACCTCTGTCCTTTGCTTGTCCCAGGATTTCATTCAGGATTCCACATTCCGCCCTCTCCCCTGTACCTTTCGGTTTCTCAGACTTTCCTTGTGTCCTTGACCTGGTGTTTGCAGCAGGTTGCACTTTCCTTAGGATCGCACTGGGCTTTCCCCTTCCAGGAGGAAGCCCAGGCCGGACGGAGGTGCTGTTCCCTTATCATGTGGACTCCGAGTGCTGATTTTGTATGAGGAGATTTCCAAGTTCGAGGCCAGCCTCAGCAACGTAGCGAGGCCCTAAGAAACTTAGTGAGACCCTGTCTGAAAAGAAAAGGGAAAAAAGGGCTGAGGAGGTGGTTTGGTGGTAGAGCACTTGCGGGTTCTATCCCTGGTACTGTCAGAAAGAACTGCTTGCGTGGGCTCGTCCCTGGGATGTGCCGTTGTCGAGTGGTACATGCCCGCTCTGGGTGATTTCGCTCTGCTCCTGCCCTGACCGAGAGCCGCCCTTATTCCACGCAGCCCTGGTTCCTTTAGTTGGAGGGCGGTTTTAAAAACCCAGATCCATTTCTCAGGTGTCTCTCACCTCTGAAGTGATGGCCTCTTCTTCCTTTGGCTCGGCGTCTTCCCTCCCTTTAGTTACAGGGCCTGTGTTCACTTAGCAATGCTCTGGGAACCCATCAGTCGTCACCGGTAGCAGAGGCTCCACGGCTTCACGGCAGAAATGCTGACCCTGTGCTCTCACCCTGCTCTCCCTGGTATTCTGAAATGTCCCCCACAGCGTGACATGGGCACAGTGGAACCGGCTGGCCAGCCTCAGAACCCACTCTTCTTGGGGCTGGGACAGCGAGTCTGCCCTCTCCCCGCAGTATTGCAAGTCTGACCAACGCTGCGCCTCCCCCGCCAGAGCCTGGAGGGGAAGGAGCTGCCTTTGGGGTGCAGGGCTGCCTGCTCTGGGACCAGGGGCTTTTCTGAGTTCATGGTTTGGTCGTCTGCAGTCTGCACACCTTCTCACTGAACTCTGGGCTTTGGGCTTGAAGCGGTGAGCCGAGAAATGGTTGAATGCTGAGCCCAGGATTCCAGTAGGAGTGGCCCGTCCCCTACTCCAGGTCTCATGGTGCCTTCCCACTGCAGGTCTGACGGAGATGGCGGTCTTCAGTTGCGAGGCCCACAACGACAAAGGGCTGACCGTGTCCGAGGGCGTGCAGATCAACATCAAAGGTGAGCAGCACGGGCAGGGCCCGAGGGCTTGGGGCTGGGGTGCCCAGGGTGAGCTCCTGTAGACAGCTGCTCCCGTCCAGCCCTGGCTTTCCACTGACTTTCTTTGTGGCCTCGGACGAGTCACTTCACCTTTGTGGCTTCAGCATTCGATTCTGGGAGATAATTGCAAAACCTACATATTGTCCAGGCTTAATGATCGAATGCAAATAAAGGGCTCACACAGTCCTAGCACAGCCAGTCGCGGTGGCACACGCCTGTAACTCAGCAGCTGGGGAGGCTGAGGCAGGAGGATCGTGAGTTCAGACTCAGCCTCAGCAACTTGGCCCTAAGCAACTCAACGAGACCCTGTCTCTAAATAAAAAATAAAAAGAGCTGGGGATGTGGCTCGGTGGTTAAGTGCCCTGGGTTCAATCTCTGGCACTAAGTAGTAATAATAACAATACCTGGCACATAAGTCTTTGGTAAACACAGCAGCTCTGACATGTTCACCTCTGAGCATAGTAGCTCCTACCTCCACCTCCACCCTGAGCTTCTCCTAGCAACTTTGAAGAGCCCTGGAGGAGGGATTGCTTGAGGAGTCAGTCCAGGGAGTAGACTCTGTCCTTCCTGGGCCACCTGGGCCTGACACAAGTGTCCCCAGCTGTTGACTTAGAGGGAGGAGCCGGAGGAGAGAGCAGGTCACAGTCTGCCCAGCTCCTGCTCCTCCTCCTCCTCTCCCTGCTTCCTGTGAGCTTGGACTTCACTGGGGCTGAGTGTCCTGCGCTGGGAATGACAGTGACAGAAGCAGGCTGGGGAGACCTTCCAACCCTCCACATGGCCTCCCTCCTCTGGAACCCAAGGGTGTGGTAACCAGAGGTGTTGGAACCGAAACTGAAAGGAAGGGTCACCCTAAACCACCCTGTCTCTTCGCACGTCTTCTTCCTTAGAATCCAAGCACACCTCGTGTTTTGCCGTCTGATCTTAATTTAGATATATATATATCATAATAATTTTATATCATATGCGTAACATATTATAAATCATATGCATAAAATATATTATAATTTATATAATAAATAATGTGTATTCATATAATATATGGAATAACATAACTTATTATTAATCATGTTATTAATTTTAATATAAAATTAATACATATCTGTTACTAATTATATTACTAATATTATTAATAAATAACATAAATTACATAAATGCATCATATGATGCACATTACATATACATATGTTATATAATTTGGATACATCGCATACACTGGAGAGGTAATATTGGGACAGTGTTTCTTTCATCTTATCCTTGGGGAAACAATGCAGGAAAGAAGCAGCTTGTTTGAGCTGGTGCTGGTCGAGGTTGGCACACAGGAGAGGGGTGCAAAACTACAAAAGAAACTCTTCTTCTCTTTTGCTGATTTTAGTTTCAGCAGGTCGTCTGTCCGGACAAAGGCTGTGAAAGTGCCATGTTATTTTTTGTTGTTGTTGTTTGTTTGTTTTGTTTTTGGAACCAGGGATTGAACTCAGGGGCACTTGGCCACTGAGCCACATCCTCAGCCCTATTTTGTATTTTATTTAGAGACAGGGTCTCACTGAGTTGCTTAACGCCTCACTTTTGCTGAGGCTGGCTTTGAACTCACAATCCTCCTGTCTCAGCCTCCCAAGCGGCTGGGATTACAGGTGTGCGCCAACGCACCCGGCTTTGAAAGGGCGGTTTCTAAAAGTTCACTGGAACTTTTTTAAAAGTGAGCAAACTCAAAGTGATCCCTGGAGGAAGGGTTTAACTTCCTTCCTTCCCATTATGACAGTTCCAAAAGATATGTTGGGAATTTCAGAAATCTGTGAGTGGGTGTAAATTTGTAAAGAATCTTTTTTCCCAAACTTGTGTTTTGGGCTTTCATTTATCTTAAAATTTATGTCACAGCAACCAAGATCCCCTTTTTCTGAATTATTCTTGCTATGAAGCCGGGCACAGTGGTGTTTCCCTGTAATGCTAGCTCTCTGGAAGGTGAGGCAGGAGGATTGCAAGTTCAAGGCCAGCCTTAGCAACTTAGTAAGATCTTGCCTCAAAAATGTATATCTGTATAAAGAAAGTGCCGGAGAAGTAGTTCTGGGGTAAAGCTCCCTGGGTTCAATTCCTGGCACCTCCTGCAAAGTGTTATTGCTGGAACGTATGTGGTCAGATTTGGATCTAGAAGAGGCAGGTCCCTCTTCAATGGTTCCCTGCTGAACGTGGCCCAGGCCACCCCCTGCTTCCTTCCCTTCCCACCTAGCTCAGGCCACACATTTGACCTTGTCTTGACCCACCCCAGCCTCACGGAGCAGGTATTCCCTGTCCCCATTTACACAGAAGGGACTGTGTGTAGAGCAGGTATGTCACAGTGCCCAGGCCATGCCTGGGCAGGTGGTGGACTAGCCTCCCGGGCCTGTGGGTGCTCCCGCCCATCTGCCTACATCACTCACAGTAGGCCTCCCTCATCCTGGCCGAGGACACAAGCTCTGGGGTCGTGCAGTCCTGAGCTCAGGGCCTTCTATTGCTTATACCCCTCTGTGACCTGTGGCAAGTTTTAATTTCTCTGTGCAGTTTCCTCATCTGCAGGAAGGGACTGTAAGGCCAGCTCTCTAATAGGGTTTTAGCAACAATCAAATGACACAAAATGGCCTATGGTAAGCTCACAAGAATGCTGGTCATCGTCTTGGATTAGATTAAATTTTACTGACAATTAAGTTCAATGTGAAAAGACGAGATGCCCCAAGCTTTCACATCCCCTTTGGATTGTCATTGAGATAGCCCTCCCTGTCCCACAGGGGACTTAGGTGGCTGCAGGCACACTGTGGCAGGAACCTGCCCCCAGCAGAAGCAGTTGCCCTGTCCTCTGATTCTCACCTGTGGCCTAGTGGAAAGCTGATCCCCTACACAGGCACTCGTCACACACACGCGCACACACACACACACACACACACACGCACACATGCACACGGACACACATGGACACACATGGACACACACATGGACACAGACTTGCACACGGACACACACACGGACACAGACTCGCACACGGACACACACACATGCACACGGACACACACATGCACATGGACATGTACGCACACGGACACATATGCACACGGACACATGCACACAGACACACACGCACACACACACACACCACACGAACACACACGCACATGGACACACACACGCAGCCCTGTGCCACCCTCTGGTCTACTCACAGGGCCCTCTTGTCATTGGTGGTTGCAGTCAGCTTTTGTGTTGTTGGGACCAAAATGACTGACAAGAGCGACTTAGGAGAGGAGTAGTTTATTGGGGACTCAGTTCTGGAGGTCTCAGTGCCTAGATGGCCGACTTTGCTACCTGGGCCCCAGGTGACGCAGCACAGTATGGTGGAAGGGTGTGGTGGACAGAGAGCTCAGGTCACAGCCACCAGGAGAGAGAGAGAGCTCTGCTCACCAGGGACCAAAATATAAACCCCAAAGACATGTGACCTGCCTTCTCCAGCTGCACCCTACCGGCTGCAGTTACCACCCAATTAACCCAGGTCACTGGATTAATCCACTGATTAGGTTCCGGCTCTCACGATCTAATCATTTCGCCTCCGACTATCCCCACAGTGCTTCACGCCTGAGTTTTCTTGGGATCCCTCATATTCCAACCATCATGGTGCCAATGTGGGCCTCCCTACGGGGCTGTGCACTTCACAAAGGCAGGGCTGTGGCTCTCGTCCCTGTTCCCTGCACCAGTGTCCAGCCAAGTGGCCTCACAAGCAGTGTCAAGAATATGCACTCAGTGAAGGACGGGAAGCCCTCCACGTGGCTTCTCAGGGATGAGAGAAGTGGCCGAGTCCCACTTCCCAGGCGCAGGCAGAGCCTTCCCACTGCTGGAAGGACGTTGCCCTACAGTCCAGCTGGCTCCTCTTGGAAACAGGGTCCTCGTGCCGATCGCAAGACACAAAGTGGTGAAGCGCATTTGTTCAGTGGCTTTGGCCTCCAGGGCTCACGACTGTGCTTGTGCCTTTGTGTTTCCCCAGCAATTCCCTCCCCGCCAAAAGAAGTCCGCATCCACAAGAGCTCGGCTCACAGCGTTCTCGTCTCCTGGGTCCCAGGTTTTGACGGATACTCTCCATTCAGCAATTGCAGCATCCAGGTAAACCTCGCAGAGGGCCCTGCAGGACTTGCTCCCCATCCTGCCTCCTGAGCCCCGCTCTGCCAGCTTCCCCCAAGGGCTCCACATGCCTCGACTCCCCCGCTAGTGTCCACCACCCTCTGTCCACCATGTGCTTCCTTCTCTTTCACTGCCCAGCACCCAACCAGAAGAAGGCTTGTTTCCAAGGGAGAACATCATGAGACCAGGGAAAATTCTTTTTTTTTTTTTTTAATACCTGGAATTGAACCCAAGAATGCTTTACTACTACTGAGCCACATCTCCAGCCCTTATTTATTTATTTAGAAACAAGGTCTCGATGAGTTGCTTAGGGCCTCACTAAGTTACTGAGGCTGACCTTGAACTTGCTATCCTCCTGCCTCAGCCTCCCGAGTCTCTGGGATTACAGGCTTTTGCTACCTCGCCCAGTGAGGATCCATTTTTGATTACAGAAACACATTCCTGATGAGAGAAGCCCCAGTGGGACTCCTCCTGGGCTGGAGCTGTGAAGGACCAATGGGCCAGCAGCACACAGGTCACCCGTTGCTGTTAAAAGTGGCACCTAGGCAGTGTCTCCCTGGGGACCCTGGGGATTACAGGCCTTGGTGACTCTTGAGCCATTTTTAACCACTACTTAGAACTGGCATGAAAAAAAGAGTGCTGTCGGAAATATAGGCTGACCGTCCTAAAATGGTACCTTGGCCTGATGTAAGCTCTGCTCCCGGGCATTCCTTTCACAAAAATGGAAACAGTGGCCGTAACACTCCTGTTTACCCAGTGGCCACAATGGCCCAGGGACTTTGCAGACGCCTGACTAGAAATACAGAGCGCTTCAGGGTCCGAGCCCTTCCACAGCCTCTGAGCGGCAGAACCGAGTGGCATCCCGGGCAGCTGTGACACCCAGAGCAGAGCTGGGACCCCTGTGCTCCTTAGCCCGGGGAGCATCTGTATGGAGCAGGTCACCAAGCACCAGGGTCATCTGCTGATCACGAGAGCGCATTCTGCCGTGCATGTCACCCTTGAGGCAGAGATGGTCCTGTCTCCTAAATGCCTTGTTTATTACTTAAAAAGTCTCACCGTCACATAGGCCAGCCTGCCAAGTCAGGGAAGGGGCTCCTGAAGAATGTTGTCAACCAGATGTTTTTGATAGCAAACAATTACTTTCTCTGCCCTTAGTGCCTCCTACTCTATCTAACAGCTGTTCCTTCTCTGAGGAATAAAAATAAGCATTATCCCTAAAAATAACCTTCACCCTATCCCACCATTCGAAGCCTGGCTTAATTTTTTTTTTTTTTTTAAATCGGTTAAGAATTTTTGTTGTCAAAACTTTAAAAATTTCAGTAGAAAATTTAGGTTCATATATTTTGGCTTTGTTGAAGAGTAGACAACATTTTTTTTAAACGTGTCAATTTGATTCAATTAGCATTGTTCAAAATTATTAATACATTTCCCATATTAAATTTAAGAACATTTTTCAACAAAAGAAATCTAAAAAAATAATGAAAAAAAACAAATTACAAGTGGGAGAAGATATTCCCAACAATTACAGAGTAATAATATCAGAAGATTTAAAAAATAAAGATGGACCAGTAAGAAATGCAAGATTGACTCAACTGAAAAATTGTGGCCAATATAGACGAGGCCTTGTACTGAATAAAAATAAAACATAAGAATAAAATTATTGGAAATCAGCAAAAATTTTAATATGACACAAATACCATTTACATCCATTCTACTGACAAAGACTATGTGATAATACCAAATGTTAGGAGGGATGTGGCCACAGAGAAGCTCTTATACATAAAAGTATAAATAAGTACAAATATTTTCAAGAGTTTAACATTATATCACCTATCCTGGCTTAATTTTCGTCCACCTTTATTTTTGTAAAACTCCCAGGTACTAGCAGGCTATCATCAGGGATGGCATTTTTTTTTTTTTTGTGGCAGAAGGAATTGAACCCATGGCCTCATGCAAGCACTCTACCACGGAGCTACATCCCCAGCCAATAGCCACCTTTCTTTAAACACTTTTTTTTTTTGAGGTTTATTTCATATTCTGTAACAGTTACCCATCTAAAGCATACAGTCCAATGGTTTTGAGTATATTCCCAACCACACCACTATCTAATTGCGTCTATAGTCATAAGAGCTTTTTATTCAGCTTTTTATGCTTTCTTATGATAGCTCTTTTTGATTTTGATTATTAGCATCTTGCTGGTTTAATGAGTTGGGAAGTATGCCTTATTCTTCAATGTCTTGAATATTTAAATCTTTTAAAAATTTCTCACGAATCCATCAGCAAAGCCAGCTGGTCCCTGGTTTTCTTTCTGGGAAGATTTTTAATATTAGTTCAGTGTTTTTACTTGGTGTAGGTCTACTCAGATTTCTATTTCTTCTTGAGTCAGTTTTGATAGTCTGTGTGTTTCTAGGAATTCAATCATTTCATCTAAGTTTTCTAATTGTTGGTCTACCATTATTTATAGTATGCCATTATAATTCTTTTAAATTCTTTGAGGTTCATAGTAATGTCTTTCCTTTCATTCCAGATTTTAGTAATTTGCATCTTCCCTTTCTCATTTTTCTTAATCAGTCTAGCTAAAGATTTGCCAGTTTTGTTGATCTTTTTTGAACAACTAGCTTTGTTTCTTTGAAATTTTTTCTATTGTTTTTCTGACCTCCATCCTATTCCTTTTTTGCCTTAGTCTTCAATTTCTTCTGTTTGCTCCAGTTTAATTTTCTCTTTATTTTCTAATTTCCTGAGGTAGACCATTAGGTAATTGATGGGAGATTTCTTTTTAAGTAGAGGCGTATATGCTATGCATTTCCCTCTCAGCACTGCATTAGCTGCATCACATGAAGTTACTTTTTATTGTGTTTTGAGTCATCTCAAGTTTTTTGTTTTTGTCTTTTTCCCTGGCATTTCATCTTAGTCCTCTTGGTTATAGGAGTATGTTGTTTAATTTCCACGTCGTTGTAAAAATTTCACATTTTCTTCTTTTGCTGGTATCTAATGGAATAACATCGTGTCTGGAGAATATACTTATTATGATTTCAGTAGTTTTAAATTTGTTAAGGAGACTGTTTGAGAGGCACTCGAGAAGAATGTGTATTTGGCTGTAGTTGGTGGCGTGTTCTACACGTGGCGGGTCTAGTTGGTTGATAGTCTTGTTGGTCTTCTGTTCTCTTGTTGCTCTTCTGCCTAGTAAGCCTATCTGTAACTGGAAGTGGAAAATTGAGGTCTCAACTTTTGTGAAGGGGGGACCCCTGGGGATGGAACGTGCGTGCTCTGTGGCTGAGCTCCTCCCCCAGCCCCTCAAGTTTTGTTTTTGAGTTGTCTACGTCTCCCTTCAGTTCTATCAGTTTCCTCATCATGTGTTTTAGGGCTCTATTATTAGGAACATGCAGAGCGTGTTTCCCTAGAACTCGACATTTTTCATTTATAACGTCACTGACATGTGGACCAGCCCTTTTCAAATGGGCCCCACTAAACTGGGATTGCCTTCTCTCCCGAGGGCTGTTAACTTGAGGGGGGCTCTGAGGAAGACCCTTCCCACACCTTGGGGAGGGGGTGTCAGGGTAGATGTGAAGTAGGGAAGGATGGCCGGAAGGACTGGGAGCGCCAGGCACCCCTGAAGGTGGGAGATGGTCACAGAGAAGCCTCCCCTGCTCTGTCTGTGCCGTGGCTTTTGTACCGAGAAACGTCACCCTGGGACAGCCCGAGGCCAGGCCCCCTTGCCCATCTTGGATCCTGTCCTCCTTTCCTCTCCACCGGGACTGCTAGACTTAGCACACAGGAACACAGGACACAGTGCTCTATGATTTATCTGTACTAAAAATTATTTGAAATTCGGATTGAACCGAGTGTCCTTTTTTCCTTTAGCAGGTCTGGGTTAGTGGGGTGGGCCCCAGGAGTTACCCTTGTACCTTTTGCTGATGAAGAGTGAATCCCCATTCCTGAAACCACCAAGTATGGCTCTGTGCTTTGCTACAATTTTGAACTCTGACTTGGTAACAAATGAATGTTCTGGACGAGATTCAGATCCACACTCTAGCGGGACACACCCTTCTGCTTCCTTTGGTCCTGACGTTAGGCCCTTCCGTCACCCATTTTTGGGCCACATGCTCCATGTCTAATTTTAGCTCTGGCACCTACTCCTTGCCGCTCCAGGCCCTCTCCCCAGGGACCACGAGAAGGACCTTCCAGAAGCTCGGCTCCTTCCAGGGGCATGCTGTAGGAGTGTGGGTGCCTGGGGACGCTCCACCTGTGGCTCTGGAAACCGGGTGGGGACAGAGCCAGCCTCATCCTCGTGGCTGGTCACAGGAAGGAGTGTGTACTCCAGTGCGAGAAAACAAAGAGTCAATTCTGCCGCCCAAGATAAGCACAGGGCCCTGTTTCTCCACCGGTGGTTCCTTGGGACAACTGGTACCTTCCTGTCCCCCACAGGATCTGAGTCAGAGGTGGAGCTCGGCCCCCACCCCCTCACGGCACCCACCAGGGGATGTAGAGTTCCAAAATGGTCATTTCTGGCCTGCTGCCCTACACTGCAACCCGTATCCTGAAATTACAGCACCGTGCATTCCCATCCCATAATTGCACGCCCGTTGTTAAGGGCAAGCAAGATCTTATGGAGTGGAGATTTTTTTTCCCCAAATTGCTGTTAGTTTTACATGGTACTGTCTGTCTTTTCAGATTTTATAAGTATTCATGTTGTAGAAAAAAACATGCAGTGGGAGAAAAAGAAATCTCCTATCACCCCAACCCCAAACAGGAGGTGTGCTTGAGGGAAAGAGGTAGCTTTGGCCCAGGACTGGGGTTTTTCTGGCTCTCTTGCTGTGCACACAGACGTTTAGAGAGGGGTGTGGGGAGGCTTGTGGAGTGTGTGCGGGAAGGGATGAGGAAATCCGTGTTTAAAGGAGATTTAGAAAAAACTTCTGGATGAAATGTAAATGGTCCTTTGCTGTATCTCCCCCCCCCCTCAAAATGCCATAAAATTTGCATTACCTGTGTGTGCTTGTGGAGTTGAGTTTCTATTTGAGTGCAGATGGGAAAGAAGAAAGGGCACACTGCTGAAATTAGCTTCAAGGCAAGAGTGTGGATTCTCAGGCTACATCATATAAAGAACATAAATTTTAAAAAGTGAAGCCAACAAATCCATCTACCCAGAGGAAAATCTGGAAAGCATTGTCTCTAAAGGGCCAGAGGGTAAATATTTTAGGCTGTGCCAGTCATATGCAGGGTCTTGCCTGTGTTGCATATTCTGTGAAACATCTGGAATATGAGATCAGGAATCGAGGTGGGGCCAGGCATGGGGCAGAGAGACATGCCTGTAATCCCAGAAACCTGGGAGGCTGAGGAAGGAGGATCACAAATTCAAAGCCAGCCTTAGCAACTTAGCAATGCCCTAAGCATCTTAGCGAGACTTTGTCTCAAAATGAAAAATAAAAAGGGCTGGGGATATGGCTCAGTGGTTAAGCATCCCTGGGTTTAAACCCCAGTACCAAAAAAAAAAATTAATAATAATGATAATAATAATAGAAGTGGTTCTGGGATGGGCTGGGGTTGTCTCAGTGGTACAGCACTTGCCTAGCATGTGTGAGGCCCTGGGTTCGATCCTCAGCACCACATAGAAATAAATAAATTAAATAAAGATATTGTGTCCAACTACAACTAAAAAATAAATGTTAAAAAAAAAGAAGTGGGTCTGGGAGAGGAGGGATTACCTTATTTTATTTTCTAGTATAATGTGGGTTATAACCATTATGGTATAATCATACTTAGTTGCTTTGTTAACTACCACAGTGAGAATCCTTAGGATAGGCATTTCCCACCATCCCCAATGGCTACCCCAGTAGCTTGAGCAATGGTGGGAGAAGTCGTGTGTGCCCTGAGAGGAAGCAGATCTGCCCCCGTCCAGGTGCAGAGGAAGGGCCACGTGCAGAGGATGGCATGTGTGCCAGGTCGAGCATTCCCACCCTCTGACTAACGCTGGTCCGTACCTTCACTTCATTCAGGTCAAGGAAGTTGACCCTCTGAGTAACGGCTCGCTCATGACCTTTTACACCTCGCCCACCCCACATCTGTATCAGATCGAGCAGCTGCAAGCCCTGGCTAATTACAGCGTCGGCGTGTCCTGCATGAACGAGATAGGCTGGTCGGCAGCGAGCCCTTGGGTTCTGGCCAGCACCACTGAAGGAGGTAATTCCTGGGACGCACGGAGGACGCTCCCGGGGTGTGTGAACACTCAGACCTTTTCCTGGGGCCTGGTTTTCAGTGTTCACTTTAAAAGGGGTTAGGGGAAACACCCATGCTAACCTCTGGTAGTGTTTTCTTTTACACAGGAAGATAATGCACACTTTTAAAAACCAGTGTCATTTTAAATTAAAATATAATACACAAAAGTTATTATTCATAACATTAAACTCAAGAGCCAGTGACCTGGGTCTGGCTAACATTTGCTCAGCACCCACGAGGTGCCGGGAGCCCAAAGGTGCTTTCCAGGCTGTTCTGCATGAGGGCCTACCCCAGCCGCGGGCACTAGGCACTATCTTTACCTAGGTACTGTTCCTAGGTATTATCTTTACCTAGGTACTGTTCCTAGGTAATTTCTTTACCTAGATACTGTACCTAGGTACTATCCTTACGCTTTAAAGACTCTTCTCTGTATCGCTTTTGATTTTAGATTTCTTTCCTTTTCTGTGAACAAGGGAATGGCCGTGGCAGTTCTGTCCCCTTCCAGTCACGTAGTTTCTGTTGTCCCCAATTCAGGGTCCTCACTTCACCTACACAGGCTCTTCCCCGCCCTGTGTCCCTCCCTGTACAGTCAGTGTCACAGTCAGTACAGATGGAGAGACGGGTCTGGATCTGAAATTTTGAGGGCTTGAGGAGGGGGATTGAGCTAAATTAGAAATCAGTGCCACAGCCAGGCACCTTGGTGCACACCTGTTACGCCAGCAGCTCAGGAGGCTGAGGCAGGAGGATCACAAGTTCAAAGCCAGCCTCAGTGATTTAGCAAGGCCCTAAGCAACTTGGAGACCCTTCATCTGGTCATCTTGGTAACCATGTTGCTCTCACAGCGAGAAGTGACCTATAAATGACAACTAGGTCCAGTTAGCTGATGGTCGTTTTCAACCTATATTCCTACTGATTTTTTTCCTACCTGTTGTATCGACACCTGTTTCATAAGGTGGCATATACTTTGTTTTTACATATATTTTACATGTATGTTTGAGTAGATGTGCACAAGTACAGAATACACATTGCTTTTAGAGGGGAGTAGAGATTGAACCCAGGGCCTCACACATGCTAAGCAGGTGGTTTACCACCGAGCTCCACCCCCAACTCCCACTGCGTTTTAATCCTTTCACAGTCTCTGCCTCTAAATTGGGGCATTTATTCCATTCAAGTGTGGCACTGCCATTTGAGTGGGGTGGACCGAGGTACATCACATTTTCTCTGTTCTTTGTGTATTTGTTCTCCTATTCTTCCTTCTTTTGGGTTAGTCAAATATTTATCTCCATTGTTGATTTTTTGGCCTTAACTTTTTCTCTGTTCTTTGTTGTTGTTAGGAACAGGTTTTATTTTTGTTTGTTCTTTTTAGTTATACATGACAGTGGAGTCTATTTTGATCACATACACAAAGAACAGAGAAAATGTGATGTACATTTTCCCAGACCTGCCCCATTTTAGTACCTGGGCCCTCGGCTACTGAGCTTCCCCATGTTCTTTGGGGAGAATAGACTTGCTGAGTTACAGCTCTCAAATGTGTTACAATTTCTCTTCTACCATTGACAATTTTTTTTTTTTTTTGGTCCCAGGGATTGAACCCAGGGGTGCTTAACCACTGAGCCACATCCCCAGCCTTTTTAATGTTTTATTTTGAGGCCAGATCTCACTAAATTGCTTAGGGCCTCACTAAATTGCTGAGGTTAGCTTTGAACTCATGATCCTCCTGCCTCAGACTCCAGAGTTGCAGGGATTATGGGCGTGTGTCACTACACTCGGCTACCTACTGACTACTTTTTGCCCTTAAAATTCCTTCTTGTCACTGTAGAGGGGTTCTAGGAGGAGGCAGACACAAAGGACTGCGGAGTCAGCATGCTCCCTCATAAATTCGGCAGCAGACTGCAAGGTGTGTGTCTTATCCCACAGGCACGGCGCTGGCAATGTGACTGTGACGGTTCCCAAGCTGAGCTGAGCTTTACCTTCATGGTCTCTGCTCCCAGAGTCAGTAGGGATGAGGAGGACTATCATGGTTTTTTTGTTTAATTTTGCTTTGTTTTCCTTTCTGACATATGAGAAATATGGAGTCTTTAAATACAATGATAGGCAACATACAGTTTGGTGTATATTATTCCAATTTTTAAATTCCTTCTCTATATAAATCACTTTTTTATTTCTAAAATGGTCCAACATGTACTTTTCTGCAATCCCCCTGTTGTTTTTTTTTTTTTTTTTTTAAGTATCAGTGCACATGATATACCTCATTCTTTTCAGTGACTGGGTAGTTAGCATGCCATTGGGAAATGTATCAAAATTTATATTATAATTTACTGGCCGATGGCATTTATTCCCATTACATTGCAATGAATGTAACTCCAGCTATAGATTGAATTTATGGAAATAAAATCGTTGGTCAAAGAGCTTGTTTTCAATTTTAATAGACACTGTCAACTTCTTCATTCCCCAAAGAGTGTAGTAGTGGTCTTGACTTGTGTCCCATGCACCCATGCACTTGTGTCCTTACACCCACACACACTTATAACACACACTCGGCGGGCCTCCCGCATCCGTGGGTTCAGCATCCTCAGATCAAACTAACGAAGGATCAAAAACATTTGAGAGAAAAATTGCAACTGTGCTGAACACATACAGATTTCTTGGTATCCTTATTCCCTAAGCAATGAAGCGGGACAGCTATTTATGGAGCGTTCACCCTGTTGAAGGTCCCACGAGTCACCTAGAGATGACTGAGAGCAGGACGAGGGTGTTCTGTGCAAATCCTGCATTTTGTGGGAGGGACTTGGGCATCTGTGAGTGTCAGTGTCTGAGGTGGTCCCCAGGCGATGGATGGCTTGCAGACCCTGGGGGCTGCCTAACACTTTTCATTGCCTGATGATCTCTATTCAGATCAGTAACCTGCCTCTGCATGTGGCGACAGCTTCAGACTCACCTCAACCCTGCCTTCAACATCTTAGAAACCACAGAACTGCTCCCCAGTCGGCCTGGGGACCGTGCAGCCCTCAGGTGTCAAGGCCACCCTGGGGTCTCTCCAGGAGCCCACGAGCGCCCCCTGCCCCCTACCTCCTCCGTCATCCCACTTCAGTGCTTATGGCCTTTTTAGCTTCAGAAGTGAATCTTGAGGCTCCGGGAGCCTGGACCACGTACTGGTTGGGGCTCCTGTCATATTTCATGGACCCTAAGTGACGACGGGAATCTGTTTTCAGTTTCCATTTTTTGTGTGTGTGCTTTTCATGGGACACTTGAAGGCCAAGCCCTGGAAAACCAGGAGAGTGGCTCCACCGCGCTTGTCCCTGTGGCTCTTTACCTTCCTCTGCTTTTCTTTGCAGCACCATCGGTGGCACCTTTAAACGTCACTGTGTCCCTAAACGAGTCTGGAGGTTACCTGGACGTCAGGTGGACGAAGCCCCCGATCGCGCTGCAGGCGGGGCAGCTGGTGGGCTACCGGATATCACACGTGTGGCAGAGCTTGGGGACTTTCGTAAGTCACAGCCTGAGTCCCCTACGTCGTCCCTTTTCGGCCTGCTGATTCACTTCTGTTTCAGAAGCTCTGGTTTTGCTGAGAAGACCTGGCCTGATGGCATGAGGCCGGGCACCTAATGTCATGAGGCCGGGCACCTCTGGGTGGGACTTGAGTGAGCATCGGTGGTGACCGAGCAGGCCTCCGTTCAGCAGATGGGTCGGGAGATCCTCCTCTGTTGTCACCTGGATGAACCCAGGGCCTTGTGCGTGCGAAGCAGGCACTCTACCAAGTGAGCTATCTCTCCAGCCCCGGGATTTAGTCTCTTACGGAAAGATGAGAGGGCGACCCAGGCAATCGCAGTGTGAGGTCAGGGCTCTGTGGGGTTGGGCAGGCTGACAGCTCAGAGCCTCTGAGGAAGATTGTCAGGGAAGATCCTCAACCTCAGAGGATAAGCAAGCGTGCTGGCCAGTAGGGCCCAGCTCCATAGGAGCCCAAACTAGACCAAGCCACATGGCCACCCATGGCACAGCCAGCAGAGGAGCCCCAGCCAGGGGGCACGAGACCCTCAGGGCCACATGATGGGCCCAGGGTTAGGACATGTGGCTGAGGGTCCCAGGGCCAAGAGCTGATGAGAGCCTTGTGTAGCAGCCAGCAAACAAGCCTTCCCCGGTGCAGTTGCCTCGGAGTCCTGCTGCGGCCACTGACTTCCCTTGGTGCCAGGTGAGCCATCCCGGAATGGCTCAGGGTCAGGGAGGTGAGGCCTTGCAGATTGGCATGTTCTGCAAGGCTGTGCAAAGATGCTGGAGGCCCATGGCACACTGTTCCTCCCAGCAAAGGGGGCACTTGATCTGGACCTGTGTTAGTCAGGGGTCAGAAAGAGATTCATTATGAGGAGTTGGCCCACCCAGTCAGAGGCCGAGAAGGCTTCAGAGCTGCTATCTGCAAGCTGGAGCCCCAGGAGAGCCAGGGGTGGGATGGGGGTCTGGAAGCTAAGAATCAGGAGATCCTGTGCATAGACCTCTGTCTAAGGCGGAAGACCACATCTCAGAATCCTCCTCTTCATCCTTTTCTGTGGGGGCTGGACGATGCCCACTCATGCTGGGGTGGCCATCCACTCTCCTCAGTCTGCTGATTCTATTGCTGATCTCCTCTGGAAACATCCTCACGGACATACCCAGAAACGGTGTCCAGCCAAACCGCCAGGCACTGTACAACCCAGTCGAGGTGACACATGAACCTCCACAGCTTGGCATAACTTTTTAAAAAATATTTTGTTTTTAGTTGTAGTTGGACACATACCTTTATTTTATTTTTATGTGATACTGGGGATCGAGCCCAGCACCCAACACATGCTAGGTGAGCGCTCTACTGCTGAGCCATAGTCCAGCCCCAGCTTGGCCTGATTTCGACAGATGAAAATGAAGGAGTTTCAGGTGGAAAAGGATGTCATGGAAGGAGGTGTCAATGCAGTGGCTCTGAGGGACTGAGGACTCGCTTGAAGGTTCGGAACATGCGTCCTTTGTGACAGCCTGGTAGGAGGTGAAGCTGGACTGGGGAGCTGTGACCCCAATATGGGTAGTGTGGAAGTCAGGCCGAGGCAGAGAGAGTTAGTAGATGGCCAGGGAGCCAGTGAGAGGTGTGAGCCCAGGGGTAGGATGTGAGGCTTGTGGATTATGCACAAGGATTATGTCAGTTTTCATTTATGGAATAAAGTTGAGTTTATTGATATAAATAGCCTTCAAATTTGCCTTCGTTCCACTAGAGCATCTTGGTGACCTGCCTGGTCTACAAAGAGTAGCTAGGGAGCTCAGCAATTGGCTTCCTGTCTTGGGAGCTCCTTCCTGTCTTGGAAGCTCCTTCCTGTCTTGGGAGCTCCTTCCTGTCTTGGGAGCTTCCCTGTCTTGGAAGGTATTCTGGCTCACAGAGAATGTCTATCACAGATGTCACCAAGGTTTTTTTCTGAATACCCACCGGCATGTGCTTGGTACTGGGCGAGGTATTGGTGAGGTGCACCGTATGTCAGGTGGCTTCTGCTTCTACCTCAAGGCTGGAAATGATCCCTTTCACCCAGTAATGATTCCCTAGTGTGAGTGCTCATTCCATCCCCAAGAGCAAACAAAGGCCAAGGGCATCCTGGGTGACTTAGGGACTGCCTCCCTAGCACCAGCCACACCCTTCCTGAAGGTCCCTGCTGCCGCAGGAACTCAGCCCAAGACAAGTCGGGGGCAGCTGGGGATGGAGGCTGAGCGTGGCTGGGTGGGCAACTTCCAGACAGGGCCCCTGCCCACCAGGAAAGGAAGAACTGGGGAGATGCTGTCTCTGACGCGCAAGGGCAGGAGCGCTGGTCTCACTGATGGGACTGGCTCTCCTTCACCAACCAGGGAAAGCAGGCTCCCTTTGTGTGGTCACGTCCCAGACCCATCTCACCCTGTGACAGCCTCCTCTCAGCATCTTCAAGGATGTGTACAGGATGTGTACACAAGTCGTCCTGCTGCGTCGAGCTCTTCAGCAGGAGAGGGGGCGGGGTGAATGGCCCAACAGCTACAACCCTCGATGATGGTCTGAACTTTGTTCCAATGTTTTTTTTGTTTTTGTTTTTGTTTTTGGTACTAGGAGTTGAATCCAGTGGTGCTTCACCACTGAGCTACATCCTCAGCCCTTTTTTAGAATTTTGAGACAGGATCTTGCTAAGTTGTTTAGAGCCTCACTAAATTGCTTGAACTCGCAATCCTCCTGCCTCAGCTTCCTGAGCTGCAGGGATTATATTCCAATCATTTTTTTTTTAAGATTTCAAAAACATATGAAACGTTCCCATATGCCATATTTTAATGGCACAAAGTGCTTTTACTTTATCGTTATGGCACAGTTGACCAGCCGGCACAGTTGTGGTCTCTCCATTCCTTTGGGGTGACTGCACCGGGGCCTGGGTCCAGCCTGCTCCAGTTGGCATTGCTGTGCGTGTCCACAGGGCAGGACAGAAAGGGGCTATGCCGGCTAAGGCAGCATGACCCGGGCTGTCTTGGAAGTCAGGTGCACATTCTGCCTTGTCATTGTTTGCTGGGTGCTTTGCACTTGGGGACGACTTGGTGCGTCTCTGGCCAGGAAAACCTGAGCAGGAGAAGGTAGAACTTTGGGGCAGGTTTGCTCCGGGTGCCCTGGAAACAAAGGTGTGCAGTTATTTCCTCTCTCACACTCTCCATCATTTATCAGAACTGCTTTTCCCAAAGAACAGCCGGGGTGTATTCTTTTTCTTTTTCCCTCCTGTCAGGAAGCAGTCTTCTGGAAGCAGGAGGTGATATAAATAGAGGAAAAAGAAGAGGGCTCAGGCCCGTGTTCTGCCTCACGTAAACGCTGTCCCTGAGCGGGGAGAGCCTGCTTGGCCTCACGCCTAGGAGAGGACGGTTCTACCCAGGCCTCTGTGCCAGCTGCCCCCGGACCAGCTGCATTTCCCCCTTGACACTCGACGTCACATGCCTGTCCGAAAGGCTCAGTAATTGTGGTTCAGTTCCTTAGGAATGTCCTCTTCCTCTGTTGGCAGAAGGTAGGGGTCACCAGCAGACACGCGAGTGGCCTGAAGCCAAGCCAGCGGGTCCGGAGAGCCTTTGTTCTTTCCTCCCAGCGTGACGAAGCCACTTCTCTTGAGCTGAGGCATGAGAAGCGCAGCAGCAATGAAAGCTTTAGGAGTCACTGTGGCCTCATGAGCCAAGTGCCACCAGCACTCAGCTGTGCTGTGTGTCATCAAACCTATCCCCTCTGCAGTGAGAACGATGCCACCACTGTGAGGGCTGTGACCCTTCCCGTCACTCACCTCCCTGCAGAGGCCAGATCATCCTGGCCAGGCGGTCATCTGCCCCCGCACCCACTCTGTACTCCGTGCATCACGACGGACTTATGACAACAGAAGACTTGGTGGCTCTCGATACTTTGGGAACAGGCCCTGATGCAGATAAGCTTCTGGCGCATAATGGGCAACAAGAGGCAGAACGTGGATGAAGTCCAGGGCAGGGAGGCAAACCCGTCCAGAGGGAAGTTTGCAGTGAGCCGGTGTCCGTCACTCAGCCTCCAGAGCTGGCCTCCACCTCCAGGGAAACGCTCCGGCACAGCTTCGCCTTGTGCACTGATGAGGAGGGTGGGCTGTGCCCTTGTCATCCACACTGTTGTATTGTGTGCAGACTAAGAACCTCTGGTCTTCACTAGATGGATGTTTATTACATCTCAATGAGGATTCTACCTTTTTTTTTTTTTTTTTTTTGGTACCGGGAATTGAACCCAGAGGCAATTAACCACTGAGCCACATCCCCAGCCCCTTCTTATATTTTATTTTGAGACAGGGTCTCACTAAGTTGCTGAGGGTCTTGCTAAGTTGCTGAGGCTGGCTTTGAATTTGCAATCCTCCTGCCTCAGCCTCCTAAGCCTCTGGGATTACAGGCGAGTGCCATTGCACCTGGCTGGTTTCTACCTTTTCAAATTCTATTTTTCTCGATACCCCTTGCCTTCCAAAACAGGGCTCAAAGTCCAAAGGTAAGGAGCAAGTACACACTATTTATTTTTTTAACTTGGAGCCCTGTCTTGCTCATCTTTAAAGGGGCCTTGAACTTGCCTTGTAGGCACTGTGGAACCAAGGAGTGGACCCCGACACACCACCCAAGCCAGCTGGAGACATTCTGTGAATGTGCCTCTGATGAGATGTGGGCTCATTTTTCCCCACCCCATCCCTGTTCCCATTCCACGAAGAGAGAGTTCATTCAGCACATAAGTTTAGAACATATTGCATGGTAACCGCCCCCTTGAAGATCCAGAGTGTGTATTGGCAAGTCCAAGGCCCTTGAATGTTGTGTAGCAAGTCAGTTTTGACCCAGGGTTGCCCACACGTTCCAGAGAACTCAGGTTTTCATGTGTGGTTTTTCTGGAGCTCATTGGTAGGGATTATGACCCTGATGCTGGTTTAGTCTGTTTGTAAAGGACAGAGATCTTAGCGGAAGCCTTACAGCAGAAATCGCCATGGCCTTCAAAGTGACTTCCTCAAAGACCCAGAGAAGCTGCACTTCACAAAACAATTCCTTGGACTCTGCTTCCTCCTGAGCGGGCAGTGGCTGCCAGGGCAGCTGAGAGGCACCTGCGTGTCGGCGCCTGCCCACACCTCCTTCAGTCCTCGTCTCCTCTCCCAGCCAGAGGAGGCAGAGCATTTGAGCTGGCGGTAAGGCGTGAGTCACAGGCCAGGTTCTCATGAGACGGGCCACTTCAGGGATTCATCGAGGGTGGTCCACTTTGCCAGGAGAAGCCAGGAGATTGCCAAGAGGTGATCTCCACAAACAAGTCGAGCCAGCTTCCTGGTTTGGGACACTGACAGCTTGGTAATTTTCTCCTCTGCAGGAAGACTTGAAAGATACCCAGGGTCAGCCTGGAAGAGGGCTTTCTGTTTACAGCGAGAAAGATCCAAGAAAAGTACCTTGTTACCCACAGTCGAGGATACCAGTGACTACCATTGGTTGTTTGCAGCATGCCAGGTTCTGGGGTGTTTACCTACAGGAACTCATTTAACTCAAGAGAGATGGTATTCTCCGTTTTCAGCCAAGAAAACAGAAGCTCAGAGACACTGAGTAACCCACCCAGAGTCACAGAGCTTGGCACGGGCAGAGCTGGTGTAGAACCCAGGTGTGACTGACTCCAAAGCCAGAGCTTCCCTGAGCTCACTGCTTTTGCCAGAGACCTTCAACCCTCTTCCCAACACAGTGTCTCTTATTCAGGCTCCACAGTGTGGCCCCTCAGCGGGAAGAAGTAAGAACAGATACAATCTGGGTGCAGTGAGGGCTCACGGCTGTAATTCCAGCAGCTTGGGAGGCTGAGGCTGGAGGATGGCAGTTTCAAGACCAGTCTCGGCAACTTAGCAAGACCTTGTCTCAAAATAAAAAATGGAGTGGGGAAATAGCTCAGTGGCAGAGCAACCCTGAGCTCAATCTCTAGTACTGCAAAAAAAAAAAAAAAAAAAAAAAAGGACATGTTTCAGAGAGGAAGATGTGGGGGTTTGGGGCTGGTGCCTGAGAGACTGCTTGCAGCCCTTTTGAACAAGTCACCTTGGTGATCATTGTGTGACAGCAACTTTTAGAATCTGATGGTTCTTTCTGTGTTGAGCATTACTGTTCTTTCAGGCTATAAAATGGGCCATATTCTTAAATCCAGTTATGAGTCACAGGGCTGTGAATTCTCTCAGAGCCTGGGGATAATAAAGCCTTTGGATAACTGTGAACAAATCACTGCAGTCACCCTGCCTAACTTTAATGCCACCCACAAGAAAAAAAAAGACATTGTCTTGCCAAAGGTGTACCATTACTATCCTGACCCGCAAAGTTCCTTATGTCTTCTTTTATATGGAAGTGAAATTGTAATCCAATGTCATATTTTAAATTCAATTCCAGTCCCTGAAAAGGCTCTCAGATTTCTACAGCCTGGGGATATGATCCTTATGTTGGTTAAAAAAAAAAAATGGAGATCTTTAAATGAGAAATATGCAGTTGGCCCACGGCACGTGCCCTACCACCAGAACACCTGTGCCAGGGAAACAGCCCTACTTTATGTGACCTGCACCCTGATGGTACCAAAATGTTAGCTCTTTCATAATCCAATCTGAAATGGGTTTCTCGGACAACTTTCAAAAATCAGAATGGAAATAAACCCTTGGGGTTATGGATATGGGAGTATCTCTCTTTACATACTTGGCATGAAAACAGTCGTGCACACCTGTAATCGAAGCAGTTTGGGAGGCTGAGGCAGGAGGATGGCAAATTCAAAGCCAGCCTCAACAACTTAGCAAGGCCCTAAGCAACTTAGCAAGATCCTGTGTCAAAATGAAATATTTAAAAAAAAAAAAAAAAGGCTGGGAATGTGGCTGAGTGGCCCTGAGTTCAATCTCTGGTATCAAAAAAAAAAAAAAACCCAGTAGGGATGAATTACATGCATTTACTATCTGTGCAGGGGCAGGGAGGGAGGGTAGCGGGGATCTAGAACCAACCTCTTATAGACACAAAGGATGTGAATTTATATTTATGAATATTTCCAAAAGGATGATTTGGCTTTTGTTATGATTTCTGTTCTTCTGGGCATTTAATTGTTTCCCAATTGTGCATCGTGCTTTTCCTCTTATTTTGAGAGAATTCCTCATGTTGATGTATTGTATTTGAGACTTTATAGGAAAAAAAAAGAATCACAGCCAGAAACAGGCCCAGGGTTCCTTATCAGCCTTGAACTTTGAGGAGCTCTTAGGCAATAAACTGTGGCGTAGACATGCTATTTATTTCTCGGTTGTAGACCTGAGTCACGGCAGGGCTCTGGGATGTGGACCCTGGAATTTCTCTACCCCCAAATTAAAACAGAATGACAAAGTGAGCCATCATCAAAACTGGTCTGCCATAAAAAAATTTGCTTTATTTCTAAAAACGATACTGCCAGAATGTATCTCCCAGTTGAATTATTCCTTTGTGTACTTAATTAACCACAGTAGCAAAAAGTATGGCCAATCTTGCAGGTTCCCGGTCAAGAGGAATTGAAAACCCCACATTTTTGAAGGTCACATTTTCTTCTTTAATCCCTTATCTTTCTTTCTTTCTTTTTTTTTTTTTTTTCGTACTGGGGATTTAACACAGGGATGCTTTGCCTTTTGTGCTACATCCTCAGCATTTTTTTTTAATTTAAATTTATTTTTTTTTTAGTTGTAGATAGACACAATACATTTATTTTATTATTTTTTTATATGGTGCTGAGGATTGAACCCAGTGCCTCACACATGCTAGGCAAGCGCTCTGCCACGGAGTCCTAGCCCCAGCCCTTTAATTTTTATTTTGAGACAGGGTCTCGCTAAATTGCTTAGGGCCTCCCTAAATTGCTGAGGTTGACCTCAAACTTGCCATCCTCCTGCTTCAGCCTCCTGAACCTCTGAGATTACAGGGTGTACAACCACGCCTGGCTGTCTGGGGCATTCTGAGCTCTGATGGTCACTTCCTGTTTAGATTGAGAAATGATCTCTGATAGCAACCCAGGGGCTACTTGGTCACACCCTGTCTGTAAGGGCTGAGCTGGCTGTGTAGGACACAGAATGATGGGCAGGAGACTGACTGACCAGAAATAAAGTTCCTTCCAAACCCTGCCTCTGCTGTTTATTGTTGATGGATGGTACCTGTACCCCATGAGACTGATATTTCTCTCCCCTCTCCAAACTACTATTCTCAAAATTCAGAGCTTCAGCCATGTACCAGGGCTTGCTCTCAGCCTTCACAACCTTACAGTTTTCATTCAAGAGCCAGCCCCACCAGCAGAATCGTTTTCCTGCATCAGTGAACATCCTGATCTTGGAGGTTGGGAAACAAAGGGGAAAGTGTCATGTAAACATACTTTTTTTCCCCCCTGTGTTTTAATGGCTCAGGGTCACATAACAGTGACTTTTAAAAACAACATAAATAAACATAAAACAAGGGGCTGGGGCCGGGACTTAGTGGTGGAGCACTCACCTAGCATGCGCGAGGCACTGGGTTTGATCCTCAGCACCACATAAATGTAAAATAAAGATATTGTGTCCACCTAAAACTAACTAACTAAATAAATATTAAAAAATAAACGTAAAACAAGGTTTTGAAGATTAAACAAATTGCGTATCTGTCACACTGAGAGCAAAAAAAGAATAGCATTGGTATCGTATCCTCTTAGTCCAAATTCTTAAAATTTCAAAACTCTGGACCCTGCTTGGGCAGTTACCAGGTTTGCAGTGTCGAGGGATGGTGTGACTCTGCATTGTGCTCTGGGGGATCCTGCAGGGGGGTCTCAAGGACTTCACCTTGCTCTTGCCTTCTGAAGGTGGTGCTACATGCTTTGTCCTTTCTTTAAGGACCACCTTAAGTGCCTCACCCTCCTGATCCTAGTTTGCAAGGCCTGGTGTTGCTGCCAGCCCCAGCCCACGTCCCTGCCTGTGTTTGGGTTCACTCCACCACTGTGTCCTGAGTGAGGAAGGAACACTGTGGAGCAGAGATGTGGTCACTGTCCCCGGGACATGGGTGGGATGGCCTCCCACAGAAGGAACCCCGTGCAGCTGGTGCCTCCAATTTCATTTCCTTTTTTTTCTCTATCCCCAGAAGGAGCTCTCTGAAGAAGTCGGCCAGAATGGCAGCCAGGCTCAGATCCCTGTTCAAGTCCACAACGCCACCTGCACCGTGAGGATCGCAGCCATCACTAAAGGGGGCGTTGGGCCTTTCAGCGACCCAGTGGAAATATCTGTCCCTGCGTACGGTGAGAGCAGGGCCCTTCTTGCCTGATGGGATGCAGCGGTCCTGGTGGTGCACATACTGCTATACTGACCTATGGGATGGCACCCAGTTAAAAACCAAAAAGCATGTTCGCGCCGGGTGCAGTGGCACATGCCTATAATCCCAGAAGATCAGGAGGCTGAGGCAGGAGGATCCCAGGTTCAAAGCCAGCCTCAGCAACTTAATGAAACTCTGTCTCAAAATAAAAAATAAAAAGGGTTTGGGGATATAGCTCAGTGGTTAAGTGCCCTGGGGTCAATCCCTGGTACAAAAAAAAAAAAAAAGATGTGTGCAAGGATCAGGGTCCTCAGTATGGTGACACGCTTCACAGAATCCCCACACTGCCAGGTCCTCCTGCCATTTCTACCAACATTGACTTGTTGAAGGTAGTTAGAAGAGGCGCTTGTGCTTGGGCTGGACAGGCGGTGTGGCTGAGCCTTCTATTATGTGCATTTGCGGGTGTTGGCTTTGCTGTTCTAAGCAGCGCTCTCCGCCTCATGGGTAGTGTGCTTTGGGATCTGCTCTGCACAGAACACCTCCTCTTTCCTACAGAAGCCATCTTCAGACTGCCCTGGGCTGACTGAGCTAAATGCCCAACCACACATGCTGGCTTTTGCGGGTTGCTGGAATGTTCCTTGGCAAGGTGCCACCGTGGTGCCCCGAGCAGCCAAAGTGCTGGTCTGGCTTCCACAGACCAGTGGAGCCACCTTTGTTCTAACTCTGCCTGGCTCTAGGCTGTCTGATGGTAAACCACGGTCATAAAATCCATGCGCAAGCATCTGTATCCCAGTGAGTTACAGATTTACAAGCTCTTGCCAAGCCTGGCCTTGTATCCAGTAGCACGACTTAAGAGCACATAATTGAGCTCCTGTCTATTCCCAGTGACCCTCAAACAGGCTCTCTCCCTTTGAGTGGTGAATTGAACCATATTACATTCCTGCAGCCCCAGGCCTCAGTACCTGGGAACATCAGTTACGGGTGATGGGAAAACAAAGGTGTATCTACCTCCTACAGATTCAAAGACAATGAGAGATCCTCACGCTAAAGGCATAGCTTAAAACAGCTTATTTAAGACAGCAGAACTTTCGTCTCATACATAATAAACTATGATGTGTTTAAAATTTTTGCTCACTCTGCACAGCTCCGGCATACATAAATGTCAGTTATCGCAGCTTAAATTATACCATTTGCCCAACAGCGGCCAAGTTTTAGCTGCCCTCGCGTATGGACTGTAATTGCATCAAGCATGAACTCAGCCGCTGGCTGTGCAGTCCTCAAGTCTCCTTATCAATAACAGCCGCACAGATGATTGCGACCAATCAGATGGCTCCTTTCAAACTCAGTCGCTGATTGGCCACTGGCAACCATTTTTCGGTTCCCTCGTGTCTTTAGAGGGTGGCGCATTTCCTGCAAAGGGAAGGCAGTGGCTGGATTGCCTCAAGCCTCCCAGTGACAGGCACACCTGATTCTGCAAAACTAGAGGATTCAGGGATGAAAGTACACAAAGAAAGAGAAGCGATAACGTTGGGAGTGAACTGAGCGTTGAGGGTCAGCGGAGCAGCAGTCTCCACGCTGACTCTGCGGTAGTTTGGAAGCTCACTGTGCAGCCTGAGGAATTTAAGGAGGTCAGCTGATTAACATAAATGCAGTGGTTGTGAGGAAAAGGCTGAAAGGTTCCAAAGAAAGTGACACCAGCAAAAAAGAGACAGACAAAACCCGCTGCACATTCTGGACTGGGATGTCGATCAATGGCAGAGCGCTTGCCTAGCACATGGCCTGGGTAGTTCCACTGGAGTGGGGGGCTCAGGGGGTGTGAAGAAAAGAAGTCTTCATATTAAAATAATTCTCAAAGTGACTTTGCAAAATTGAAATCACAAAAAAATAGAACATTGGAAGTTGATCCAAACTTAGAAAGGCATATGACAATTCTCCCAAAGATGCAAAATGTGTTTTCTCTGTGTCATAAAGTTACGTCACTAGAGCAGATTAACCCTGTTCAAACTACTCAGTGGTAAGAACTTTTGCTTTGTTTTGTTGTGGTACTGGGATTGAATCCAATTGGACCACTACCTCTGAGCTACAACCGCAGCCCTGTTTTATTTTAAGACAAGGTCTTTCTAAGCTGTCAAGGCTGGCCTTGAACTTGTGCTTCTTCTGCCTTCGCTTCCTGAGTAGCTAGTATTACAGCCTCAGCAACCTAGGAAGGCCCTGAGCAACTTAGCAGGACCCTGTCTCAAAAAAAAAAAAAAAAAAACAGGAAGAGCCAGGGATGTGGCTGAGCACCCCTGGATTCAATCCCCATTACCCAAAACAAAACACCCCCAATGGTCTCAGATTATACCAGTGGGGGCTGCCTGCATCTGTAGATCACAGAAGACTGAAGGTGAGCCCAGTTCTGAACGCTCTTGACTGTTTGTCCTTCCCTATTACAGGCCGTACTTCATAGGTATTTAGGATCCCAGAGAATCGCTTTGCCTTGACCTTTCTGGTGTTTTACCAGGTGAAGTGGATTATGCCCCCTCGTCAACTCCAGCGCCTGGCAACACAGAGCCCCTGCTGGTCATTCTCGGATGCTTCTGTGGATTTATGTTGATTGGGCTGGTTTTATATATTTCTATGGCCATCAGAAAAAGACTCCAGGAGACAAGGTTTGGGTAAGTTTCCCAGTGAAAATTTGTGGCCCAGTGATATTGATGAGGTTGTTGGGCCAGGCCATGGTGCTGGTCCTGCTGGCCCTGCTCTTCAGACTGCCCAGGATGGGTGCCCTGCCCTGTCTTATGCAGCTTGGAGCAGACAGCTTCCTTACGCAGGCCAGTTCCTACCTACCATGGCAGCCAACAGCAGAGCCAGCCTGGTGAAGGGCTGTACAGAGGAACCCTCCACTTAAACTGGGTAGCTGTTACATGACAACCTGTATCAGTAGCCCTAAAAGTGACCCTGTTTTGTTTTTTTTTTAAATGAGCATCCCTGCTCTGCAAATCCAAAATCTGACAAGCTCCAAAGTCTAAAACTTTCTAAGCACCCAAATGATGCTGCTCCGTGAAGCTTCATTTCATGTACAAAATTATCACAGATATATAAAATTATTTTCAGGCTGTGTGTATAAGGCATGTATGAAATATAAATTAATTTCCTGTTGAATGTGTGTCCCATTCCCATGATTTCTCATTATGTATAAGTAAATACTCCAGAGTTTGAAAAAGAAAAAACTGAAATTTGTAATACTTCTGGTCCCAGTTGATGGTTTCAGATAAGGGATACTCAACTTGTATAAGTAGATAAAAATATAGTGGGCGGGGGAATTCACCAAAGCTTGGAAGTTCCGGCTGGTATCATTGTGGGTAGCTGGGTCCCTCCCTCTCTCCCTCCCTTCCTTCCGTACTTTCTTTCTTCCTTCCTTACTTCCTTTCTTTTCTCTTTTCCTTCTTTCTTTTTTTCCTTCTTTTAATGTATTTTGTTCATTTTCTGTAGCAATTAGTTGTTTTTCAAGTAGACAAGACTTAAATACGTGGAGAGAAATGTACCATGTTCATGGATAGGAAGACTCCATATTGTCAAGAAGGCAGGCCTGGTGGTGCACACCTGTAATCCCAGAGGCTTGAGAGGCTGAGGCAGGATTGTGAGTTCAAAGCCAGCCTCAGCAAAAATGAGGCACTAAGCAAATCAGCAAGACCGTGACTCTAAATAAAATACAAAATAGGACTGGGGATGTGGCTCAGTGGTTAAGCACCCCTGAGTTCAGTCCCCAGTAAAAAAAAGAAAGAAAGAAAGAAAGAAAGAAGGAAAGAGAGAGAGAGAGAGAGAGAGAGAGAGAGAGAGAGAGAGAAAGAATATTGTCAAGAGCTTGGTTCTCCCCAAAGTAACCATAAATTTAATATAAACACCATCAAAATTGGTGCTGGGTTGTTGATAAAATTGATAAGCTGATTTGAAAATTCCTCTGGTAAAGTAAATCTGCAATTTTGAAAAACACAGAATTTTGATGGAGGGTGCTGGTCTTCATTAACATAAAAATATGCCTAGTGAACAGCAAGGTACTGGTGCAAGTTGAGAGAACTCAGTCCATGGACAACACAAGGTGTATTGAAGATTACATTTCATATCTAGAGAAAAGAAGGAATGTTCAAAAAATTGACCCTGTGATAGGCACTGAATAGAGAGAGACGCATGATACTGGCATGGAGGCTGCCCACATGTGGCTATAGTCCTACAACTGAGAAATGTAGAAGAAGGGCTTCATTTGAAAGTGCTTCTATTAGCTACACCTCCACTGACTTATAAATCTAACACCAAAATGGATGTTAGATGTTAGCTGATTGAACTTTGGTTGCAGTAACCTAGGAAAGGTTAGGGTTGAAAGCTACAGAATTTACCAAAAAGTGGGGCTGCTAAATTCAGCAAACACATTAACAAGGTCACAAAACTATTCTAACATTTAGGAATACAGCTATTTCCAAGAACCATGAAGCTCAGCAAAAACTAATAACAGGTTATTTTTATGTTTACTAGAGCCAGTTCCCTTGGTCCTCCCAATGAGACCTATTCATTTGTTCATTTTGTATAGACACCTTTTTGCACCTGTTTTAATGAAAACATCTTTATTTTCTAGTTGTAAAATTAACATTCTTATAGTTTTAAAAAATCAGCCTATGTAGAATAATCAGAAGTAGAAAGTGAAACCCATTTGTAACCTGGGCTCATACATGGTTATAGTGCTGTTTTGGCATATTCCTTCCTTCAAGCTGCCTTGCTTTGCCTACATATATATTATTAATTATTTATATAGTAATAGTAACATTTATAAATTATTTTCAAAACTGTTTTATCTCTTTAAAAATAATTTATATGCCCAAGGTAAAATGAAAGGAAGCCTATTGATTGACACTGTGGATTGAACCCAGGGTGCTCTATCATTAGCTCCATCCCCAGCCTTTTTATTTTTTATTTTAAGACAGGATCTCCTTAGTTGCTCAGGCTGGCCTCAAACTTGTGATCCTCCTGCTTCAGACTCCGGAGTTGTTGAGATGACAGATGTGTACCACTGAGCCCAGCAATTCTACAATTTAGACTAATTAATTCATACTACTTTCCTACTGATTAGTTTTAAATGGACTAAATGAATTTTTTTAAGTTGTAGTTGGACACAATACCTTTATTTCACTTATTTATTTTTATGTGGTGCTGAGGATCGAACCCAGGGTCTTGCACATGCGAGGCGAGTGCTCTACCGCTGAATCACAACCCCAGGCCCTAAATTAATTTTTTATATGGACTTTTTCCCCCCAGTGCTGGAGATGAAACCGAGGACCTCACACTGTCCAGGCAGAGCAATATACCACTGAGCCACCTCCCAACCTATAGAGTTTATTTTTTTAGAATAGTTTTAATTTATAGAAAAATTAAGAAGATAGTACAAAGACCTTTATATGTCCTGTACCTAATTTCCCCTTTATTAACAGCTTAAATTAGCATAGTGCATTTATTATTATAATTTATAAACCAATATTGTTGCATTATCGTTAGCTAAAATCTACACTGTATTCAGATTTCCTCAGTTTTCACCTAATGTCCCTCTTCTTTCCTGGGATCCCACTGTGGCTCCCACCTCCCAACGTATAGTTGTTATCTCCCTAGGCTCCCCTGGGCTGGGGCAGTTTCTCCCTGTCCTTGGCTTTGAGGATCTTGACAGCCTTCAGGAACCTGGTCAGGTGTTCTGCTCATGATCTGCCTGGGGCTGTGGGTTATCAGAGGTGAGGTGCCATCTTCATTACGTCAGATCAAAGGGACCCTCGGCCATTTTTCACTGTCCACGTTGCCCTCCTTTGCCTGGCTGAGGGAGGGTTGCCAGGTCGCTCTGCTGTGAAGATATCCGCTCTCCCTTTCTACAGTTCTCTATGGAAGCAAGTCACTACACAGCCCTCAGTTAACTAGATGAGGAATGAGCTTCCCTCACTCCTGAAGGGTGTAGGAGCCACAGAAAACACTTGGAATTCTTTCCAGGAGATTCATCTCTTCCCCCTGGGTCAGCCATGTTTGCATCAGCATGGACTTGTCCGTATTCACTTTATACTGGTCATCCTGTGCTGCTTTATTTAGTTGCTCGGATTGTTTGTCGATTGGGAATATTCTAGTTATTCTCTGCACTTGGTGGTGCCTGGACACAGCCATTTTGATATTGCCAAGTAAACCTAAAATAGATCGAAGGAGAGAAACCTATTTCTCCTTGTGGGAAATGTTTTTGTTGCTGACAGGTGCCTGTGGAATCAGCAGGTGCCTCTGCATCCCTGTTTTTAAGGTGGAATGTGCTTGTTTTCATCCTCCAGGAGTGCGTTCACGGAGGAGGATGCTGAATTAGTCGTAAATTATATAGCGAAGAAGTCCTTCTGCCGGCGGGCCATCGAACTCACCTGTAAGTTGACTTTTCCTTTTTGGCAAAAGGTAAAATAGTGGAGAGGAAAGAAAGAATGACCCCCAGACATTCTAACCAAAGCCCAAAAGGTGAAGAGCGGGTACTGCTAATGTGTGAAATGTAGTCAGACATGGTCACATGCATCCTGCCGGCCCAGTTACTGGAAATCTGTAGTGAAATTGGGGTTAAGAAACCAGGGGTGCTATAGGCACGGTGGTGTATGCAATCCCAGCAGCTTGGGAGGCTGAGGCAGGAGTTCAAAGCCAGCCTCAGCAACTTAGCAAGACCCTGTCTCAAAATAAAAAGTGGTTCAGTGGTTAAGCACCTCTGGATTTAATCCCTGGGACAAAAAAAGGAAGAAAGAAAGAAACCAGGGGTAAGGGTTTTCATAACGCCACAAGACGCAGAAAGAGGAATGTTCTGGGTCTGGAGATGGGGTACAGGCCAGGGGTTTAAAGGGAACAGCAGAGCAATGGACTTAATCTTGAGCCTCATTTCCTGTTTTCCTGGCAAGCAGCTCGGGCTGGTTTGCCAACATGCCAGTAGCAACTCTGGTTTGTATTTTGCTGAATCAGCGTGAGGCCTTGTGGTTTGAAAAGTGGAGACAAACAGATAACTGTGTTCTTGAATAATTTCAGAAACAGTGTAGAAAGTGTGTGCAAATATTATCAAATTCCTTCTTCTGGATATTTGCCCAAACAAGACAAAATCAGAAGGACACAAGGAAGATGGAGCCCGCTGTGCTCCTCTGAAGTGAGAGCTCGCTTGATGAGGGACTTTAGTGTGATGCCTTCTGTTTTAGATGTATCTATCCCGGCATTTTAAAAAAAGCTTCCTGTACACAATCTCTTCCTTCCTTGGAGAGCCCTTTGGGTAGACTTTTTTCCTAAGAGCTCATGTGTTCTAATTATTCAGATCTCCTTTTTTAAAATTCCAAGTCTGGCTTATGCCTTAGCAGCTCGGACTGGATCATTTGCCAAATGATGATTGAATTCTTCCTTTTCTGGTTAATCCCTCTCAAGCCTAACACTTAGTGCCACGAGCCCACGTTGGATAGACCTCTTTATATTGCACACCTGACTCTAGGTGACCTCTCCCTCTCCTTCCCCAAAGTACTCCCTTCAGCACTTCCGAGGTCCCATCGTGAGGTGCAGACACGTCACAGGATGTCCCCTGTGATTTGTGTGCCGGCTTCCCTGGAATGCGAGGGTGGTGGGATGTCCTTATGGCTCTTTCGTACACCTAGTTAGGGATATAATAGTAAATGATTTTCTAGCAAGTGCCTGTTGACTCATTTTCCTTACTCTTTTAAATCAAGAGCAAACCTCTTCTCCACCAATCTGATTCCTGATTGCTGCTACTACTGCACTGAGGGAAGAGAACAGGGGCTTTTTGTTGTTGTTTGTTTGGTTTTTGTAGTAGGCATTGAACCCAGAGGCTTACCACTGAGCCACATCCCTAAGCCCTTTTTTTTTTTTTTTTTTTTTTTATTTGAGACAAGTTTTTGTTAAGTTGCTTAGGGCCTCTTGAAGTTGCTGAAGCTGGTTTGAACTCACAATCTTCCTGCCTCAGCCTCCCGAGCTACTGGGATTATAGGCTTGCGCCACCTGCCCCCTAAAACAAGGCTCCAATGTTTATAGTTGTTCAGAATTAACCCCACCCTGAAGGATTCATTTAACACCCTGTAATCACCATCAGGTGTGATGTTTTATTAGTGGAATTTTTGGAAAAGAAATAATGGGTACAAAATGACAACTGCGGAAATGCTATGCAGAACTTAAAGTAGAATGCTAATCGTACTTAAATGAAAGAAAGCACAGACTCTCCCTCATCTCTGTTCCTCCTGCAGTACACAGCTTGGGAGTCAGCGAGGAGCTACAGAATAAACTAGAGGATGTTGTGATTGACAGGAATCTCCTGATCCTGGGGAAAATTCTGGGCGAAGGTGAGCAATTTAAGTTCTCTTAAAACATGCCGTAAGAAGGTAAGTAGTTGGGGGGAATTTTATTTAATATGTATTTATTAAATAGATTGACATTCTTAGGCATAGGCACTTAGTTCAGTAGTAGACCACCTGCCTGCCATTTGTGGGATCCTGGGTTCAATTCCTGGCACTGCAAAATAACAAAATATTGTGTAACTTTGAGTTGTAATACAAACAGATCTACCTTATAATTTAAAATAGAAATAGTGATTTTTCACCATATGAAAAGGCTTCCACAGTCCCTAGATCTCACAGGAAGCTTGAAAAGTATGAATTCCCTTCTTTTATTGGAAATCAAGCCATCCCACGTGTTTCAGGTTTATTCCTGTGATTTAAGGGAGTCTCTTGGCACCTTCGTAACTAGTTTAACAGGAACATGATTGGAAACAGGTATTCCATGTGCCAAGTTGTCCTTAGGATGATTGCTAATGATGCGAAGAGTATGTGCTTCGGGCTGGAGATGCTGCTCCGTGGTTGAGCACTTGCCTGGCATGTGGGAGGCCCTGGCTTCCATCCCTGGCACCAGAAAGGAAAGTCTGTGCTGTGTGAGCTTCAGTAACATGTGCCATGTTCTCCCGTGAGTGCCTTGGGTCAGTTGTCATGCCCAACCAAGGGAAGAGCTAAGTAAAGTCCGAGCCTCCCATGCCCAGGGCAGGAGGGAGACCAGTACAGGCATCTTCCCCCGGCCGCCTGTGCCTGGCTGTGCCCACTGCGTGGGGATGAGTCACGTTCATACCACATGAAAGTGTCAGGTCAGCACATTGGGGTTTCTGTGGTGGGGACAGAATCTGCACAGTATCCACGTAGACTTTGTTTGGCTTTGCAGGAGAGTTTGGGTCTGTGATGGAAGGCAGTCTGAAGCAGCCAGACGGGACCTCTCAGAAGGTGGCAGTGAAGACCATGAAGTGTGAGTTTTCAACGGACAGACCCCTCCTCTGGAGCAGGCAGGCGCTTTAACCTGGGATGCTCCCAGGACCAGTGACGGTGTTCAGCTCTCCGTGGCCAGTGGGCCAGAGGGCAGCGTGGGCTACTGATCACTAACGGGGAGTGAGCTCCTCGTGCATGCATGCATTATGTTTCTTTACCCCCAAAGCAACAGCTTGTGGTACCTTTGCCATCTCTGGAATCCTCTCGCCCCCTCTGCCTCATCCAGTCAAGCTCAGGTGTAAATTTCTGAGGCAGTGGTGACTTGGTGGCAGCATCCCACCCCAGGGCTCTCTGAGGCTCATCTCTCCAGGATGCTGGGTCACTTCCACCTTCCAAGGTGGCTGCATGGGTCCCAAGAAGCTGTGGCTGCTTGGGAAGGAAGTTTCCCAGAGAGCAGAGAAATAATTCCTTGATCAGAGACATGAAGATCCAGGAATGGTGGTGCACGCCTATAATCCTGGCAGCTCGGGAGGCTGACACAGGAGGATCGCTAGTTCAAAACCAGCCTCAGCAACTTATCGAGGCTTTGAGCAACTCAGTGAGACCCTGTCTCTAAATAAAATACAAAATAGGGCTGGGGATGTGGCTCAGTGGTTGAGTGCCCGAGTTCAATCCCTGGTTAAAAAAACAAACAAACAAACATGAAGAGGTGCTGACACAAGGTAGACCCTCCAAGCCAGCAGAGAAGAAGCCTCAGGGGCAAAGAGGGCCTCATTGGTCAGCACAGAATCTGCATTTACCCTGCAAGGAGTAGAGCAAGAGAGGGACAGAGCAGGTTGCATTCTAGAGAGTTCCCTGGGTGGCAGAGTGGAGGAGAATGCACTGCAGCCTTCACAAAAATCACGGCAGGTGTCAGTTACAACTCTAGAGTCTGTGCAAATATTTATGCACATAAGGCAACTATTGTGACTTGCTGACTTATCTAAGTCAAAGAGCCGGAAAGGGGACAAGCTGTACCAGACTGTTTCTGTGACCAGAAGATAACCACGCTGTAGTGGTAAGGTACCACATGTCCCACGTCCTGCTCTCAGGACATGCAGTCCTGGGGCGACACAGCTGAGCTAGATTGTTCAAGAGTCCATCCAGCCATAGCCCCTCACATGGGTCCCCAGGAAAGCGACCGTGATCCTGTGGTCGTCTTCATTGTGATTCTTGTGGATGGACACAGCCTGGTGCTCATTTTGTTCATCTTGATTTTGCCTCCTTATTAACCACCTGTACCTGTTCTATATTATTTTGGGTAAGCAATTAACAGTTTGGAACCAGGGATTGAACCCAGAGGACACTTAACCACTGAGCCACAGCCTCAGCCCTTTTATTTTTTATTTTATTTATTTATCTTTGAGATAGGGCCTCACTAAGTTGCAGATGCTGGCCTTGAACTTGCCATCCTCCTGCCTCAGCCTCCTGAGCGTCTAGGATTACAGGTGTGGGCTACCTCACCCAGCCTTCCTAAAAGTTAGATCCACTTTTTACTAGACATGAAGGCATAAATTAGATCATAAGAATGTATTCAGGGGCTGAGGTCGTGGCTCAGGGGTAAAGCGCTCGCCTAGCACGTGCGAGGCCCTGGGTTCGATCCTCAGCACCACGTTAAGAAAAAAATAAACAAATAAAATAAAGATATCGTGTCCAACTACAACTAAAAATAATTTTTAAAAAATTGTTAAAAATAACATAATAATCAAGAAGTCACGTGGTACAGGCGCTGCTGGATGGCCTCGAGTGGACTGACGGTCATTCGTTCTCTCCTGTTGAACAAGCCTGACTTTGTGACATGTCTGTTGTGCTGAATTGTAGTCAAATACACATAAAATCCACCATCCCAGCAATTTTCAAGTGTGTGGGTCAGCGATGTAAACGCATTCACATTGTTGTACAACTATCGCCACCATCGTCTCCAACCCTTTTCCTGTTATGAAACCAAAACTCTGTACCCGTCGAGCACTAACTCCCCCCCCCATCACTGCTCTACTCTGATTTCATTACTCCAAGCGCTTCCTGTCGGTGGAATCGCACAGTAAAGATCCTCTTGTGACTGGCTTATTTCAGTCGTATAAGGCTAGATTTCAAGCAGTTCTCTTAAATTGGTCTCATTCCAAGATCTTGCTATGAAAGTGTACCCGTCTCACAGGCCTGATTGGGCAATGAGTCTGGGTGACACATGGGGACAGAAATAGAGACGTAAGGTATTCTTTCCTTATTTAAGATAAAGATAATTGCAACAGATTAGTTGGAAGAAACTTTAGGTTTTTTTTGGGGGGGAGGTGCTTTTTGTTTCTTTTTTCTTTACTAATACTTTCCTCTTTTAGAGCAGTTCCAAGTTGACAGAAAAATTGGACAGAAAGTCCAAAAGTTTCCATGCATTCCTCTCCCCTCCACACACAGTCTCCCCTGTGACGAGCATCTTAGTCTCACAGCTAAGAGCCCAGAGCCACACGTTGTTAGCTGCTGTCCTTAGTTTCCTGCTCTTGGCGATGTGCAGTGCTGTGGATTTTGACATCAGTATGAAGAATGTGCAGCCACCAGGAGAGTTTGATGGCTCTAAACCCCCTCCCTCACCACCTGTGCTCCTCCTCTGGGTGCCTCTCTTCTCTCCCCTCAATGCCCCCAGCCCCGGACAACCATTCACATGTTCACTGTTTCCATAGTGCAGTCTTCTCCAGATTTAGGGAACAGAATTGCAACCACCCTCCCTTTTCCCTCCCGAGTCAACACGTCATGCCTCAGTTTCCCTTTATTTCTGCAGTGGACAACTTTTCTCAGCGGGAGATCGAGGAGTTTCTCAGCGAGGCAGCCTGCATGAAGGACTTCAACCACCCGAACGTCATCCGGCTTCTAGGTACCCCTGGGAAACGCAGGTTGGGGCGCAGGGCGGGCCAAGGGGAAGATCCTCGGTGCTCTAGTTCATAGTCCACACTTCCGGTCCTGGAGGGGTTGACAGCGCTGAGCTTTTTCCCCTAGAAGATTTTCCCTTAGGGTTCTGTTTTCGGAGGCTGAGAGTAAAAATGGGCTAGAGTTTCTTGACACCGAGAGGCTCAGGGATGGGTAGTGTCTACAGGATGCCAGAAGAATGGACGGAAATAGCCCCCAGCTGCTCAAAGACAAGGCACAAAAGCTGGTCGTGTTATGATCTTGGTTAGTTTAAGGTTAGCCGCGAATCGGATGCCATTGGGGGAAAGGAGAGAAATTCCATAAATCATCTTTGAAAATGAATTTATGAACCCATGTTGGGAAGTACTGATTTATGATTCCGGTACTTGGGCACTTTCAGGGAACATGATTTATCATAATCTGGTTTTGTAGCTGGGTGAGATGGAAAGACAAGATGAAGGGTGGGTGTGGCACATTCTAAGAGAAACAGCTGGAGATGATGGAATTTTCTGCTCACTTCTTTCTCTTCTTTCTTTCTTTCTTTCTGCCCTTTAACTTGACACATGATAACTTCTTGGGAGATCTTTCCAAGTTTGATAGGATTGACTCTGCAGAGAGATGCAGAGACTATTGGATACAATATTTGGTCAAAGAAACAATTGTTATTTATTTGCAGCCCTTGGCTGTGGCAAACTCTGAGAACAATTGCACTTTGTAATGGCCAGAGGAGGAGTGGGCGGGTGCTCTTGCCAGGAGGCTCAGGTGACAGGCTCTAGTTCTGGAACCAGGGTAAATGGTGCTGTGGCTTCTCCCTTAGGAAACTACTAAAATTTAGAAAAGTGGGTTTGAATTATAGGCCCTCAAAATTCTTTGAATAGTTTTAAGCGGAGTTGCTGTGGACTTCCTCCCGTGATTAACCCACTATTCCATGAAGCTAGGTTAGCCTCGGAGTCTAATGAGGTCACAACCTCTTAGAGGGAGTCCAGCAGAAACACAAAGAATGACCCTAATTGGAAATAAAAAACAAAATGGGAGGCAGTGGAGCCTGCGTGGGTTCCGGATCCTACAGCACAGCCAGAGTTAGGTGCTTTGGGGTTTCAACTGCTAACTTTTTGGCACCTGGTTTCAGTGGTAGCCCCCTAGTGCTTCTTCTTTTTTTTTTTTCTTTTTAAATTTATTTTTTTTTATTGTTGGTTGTTCATTACATAGTTCTTGATATATCATATTTCATACTTTGATTCAAGTGGGTTATGAACTCCCATTTTTACCCGGTATACAGATTGCAGAATCACATCAGTTACACCTGCATTGATTTACATATTGCCATACTAGTGTCTGTTGTGTTCTGCTGCCTTTCCTATCCTCTACTATCCCCCTCCCCTCCCCTCCCCTCCCCTCCCCTCTTCTCTCTCTACCCCCTCTACTGTAATTCATTTCTCCCCCTTGTATTATTTTTCCCTTTCCCCTCACTTCCTCTTGTATGTAATTTTGTATAACCCTGAGGGTCTCCTTCCATTTCCATGCAATTTCCCTTCTCTCTCTCTTTCCCTTCCACCTCTCATCCCTGTTTAATGTTAATCTTCTTCTCGTGCTCTTCTTCCCTAGTCTGTTCTTAGTTACTCTCCTTATATCAAAGAAGACATTTGGCATTTGTTTTTTAGGGCTTGGCTAGCTTCGCTTAGCATAATCTGCTCTAATGCCATCCATTTCCCTCCAAATTCTATGATCCTGTATAATGAGGCACTTTGCCCTGCTCCTGTTTGGAATTTCAGGTGTGTGTATAGAGATGGGCTCCCAAGGCGTCCCGAAGCCCATGGTAGTCCTGCCCTTCATGAAGTACGGGGACCTGCACACCTATCTGCTGCATTCCCGTCTGGGAACAGGGCCAAAGGTAAGTGGGCTTGGTCACCCCTCCTTTATGTCAGAGCTGGGAAAGCCCCAGCCTCAGAGTTCAAAACTGAGGAGAAGGACAGTGAAAAGGACCTTGACCTTCATTCAGTGGCCACTGTGCATCCGTCCTCCAGGCAGACCTGCTCATGGGCAGTGTGGTTCCCATATATGGTGGGAGCAGGCTGGCTGATGCACCGTCTCGAGCCACAGCCTCCCTGACTCTGGGGCCAGCTTGGGCCTGGCCCCCAGCCTGCACCCCGAGTCATACACTCTGCAGAGATCACCCATGTCGGTGATCTCTTTACCTAAAATAAACTTACAGGGCCATCCTCAATGTCACGGCTGCAGCCTGAGAAGTGTGACTAGTATTTAGGGAACACACTTTTATGATCATCTTGAACTAGTAAAATGAGTGATAATCACACCTGGAATCCCAACAGGATCCTGAGGATCCCTACTCAGGATGCGGAGGCCAGAGGACAGAAAGTGTGAGGCCAGCCAGGGCAACTTAACAATATCCTGTGTCAACATAAAGAAGTTTGAGAAGGGAACAGGGGCACAGCTCAGTGGCAGAGCACTTGCCTAGCATGCGTGAGGCCCTGGCTTCAGACCCCATCTCTACACACACACACACACACACACACACACACACACACAGGAGACAGAGAGAGAGAGAGAGAGAGAGAGAGTGAGTGAGTCCAGGGCACTGCGTAGTAGCTGTCAGCTAGATATGTTTGTGATATTTCACCTCCTATGTCGGCCCCCCAGCAGTCGGGACTGAGAGGCCTGGTAATTTTGGATGTGGCTGCAGAGGCAGTTAGAGACCCCCAGAAAACTTCAGACCACAGATTTAGAGGCTGGCTTCCTGAGGGCCGTTTTAGTGGTGACTCCAGGATTGTGACTTTGGGAATCCGTTGATGGAGGCATAGGTCTGGGCCTCCTGATGGGAAATGAAAACCCTCTCACGGTGTTTCTTGTAGACAGACGTGACCGTGAGCAGGTCTGTGGGCTGTCCTACTGTGTGCCTGGCTGGCCCCCACCCTTGCTTTCCCTCACTTGCCTTCTCTGTCTGTCAGAGAGGTGACCGTCCTGCCCAGTTCTAGTCGGAGCATTCGAGGACACGATGGGCTGGCCTGTCAGGAGTCACCCTGTATTAGGACAGAAGTCACTCGGGCTGGTGTTGCCCTAAATCACTGCAGGTCCTGGGGGGACCAGCACCTTGCAGTCTGCACCTGGGCTTTCTCCAACAGTCCCCCTTTGTCCCCTCGGCTGCAATCCATAGTGAGACTCTGGATGCAACAGAAACACCTGCTTCCACTTCCCTTCCGTAAATCATGCCTTTTGCTGTCATGCCTGAGAACTCTGTACCTAATGTCTCTGGTTAAAAAAAGAAGTTTTTCTCCTGTTTTCTTCTAAAACTTCTGTGCTTTTCGATGGTAGGTTTCAGTGTATGACCTGTTTTTAGTTTGGTGTGAGATTTAGTTCAAGGTCTGTGAGGTTTGTCATGCATGCACCACCGCACCCGACTGATCCATCATTTGGTAATTTCAGTTAGTTTTTGTGTGTGATTTGGGATAGGGATCTAGTTTCCATCTATTGCATGTGACTCTTCAGATGTCCCAGAACCATTTGTTCAAAAGACTCTTCTTTCCCTGTGGTCAATGGTCTTGATGTCCTTTGTAAAAGCTACTTCCTGGACTCTCAGTGCTGTTCCATTGATCTCTATGTCTGTCCTTACCCGGTTCTGTGTTGTCTTAATGACAGTTGCTTTGCAGTAAGTTTGAAGTCAGTCTGTGTTGTGTGGATCCTCCAACTTTGTTCTCATTCGGGCTGGTTTTGAGTGTTCTGGGTTCCAGGAGTTTTCATATGACTTAAGGATCAGCTTGCTAATTTCTAGAAAGAAGCCAGCTGGTGTTCTGGTCGGGCTTATTCTGAATGGATGGCTCAGCTGGGGGGTGTTGCCATTATAACAGTATTAAGTCTTGTGATCTATGAACTCGGAACTCACTCTTCCTGTGAGCGTAGGTCTTTGATTTCTTTCAACATTTTGTGGTTTTCAGAATTGAAGTTCACACATCTTTTTAAAAGTTATGTCTAAATACTTTATTCTGATTCTATTATAAATGAAGGTTTCTTAATTTCAATTCTGACTGCTCAAGTGCTAGTGGACACAGATACAGTCGATTTTGTATATCTTGTGTCCTGCAGTCTCACTGAACTCGGTGATCGTGGTGCACAAGTGTTCTTGGAATGACTTTTAGTCATGGTCTTCAAAAATTAACATAGTGGGCTGGGGGTGTGGCTCAAGCGGTAGCACGCTCGCCTGGCATGCGTGGGGCGCTGGGTTCGATGCTCAACACCACATAAAAATAAAATAAAGATATTGTGTCCACCTAAAACTAAAAAATAAATATTAAAAAAATAATAAAATGCCATAGTGATTCTTGGTACAAATGAATAGGTCCTGATACTTATTACCCTGTCATGAGTGACAGCACATTAGATATTCCTTAGGATCCGAGTCCTTTTCTGGAAATTAGTATCCAGAAAATCAAATGCCCCAAATGTTTGTGGGCATTTTCAGTAACTGCGTTACTTATGGGGCAGGACCATTGAGGCCTCTTAGTTTTTCATGCGGTGCCTAATTGACGTGGGTCTTGGTTGGGAAAGAGGAGTCATTAGAAATGCAGAGGCTTGTGAGGATCACTGTGGAACACTCTTGTTCCAGGGAGAGCCAGCCGTGACCCGTCCCCTGCCTCGGGGAGGGCACACCCACGCAGCCTGCTCGTGGTTGCCAGGAACTTGTGGTGAGCCCTTTCCTTCAGGGCAGTGACCGTGTTAAAACGTTTAATTACTCCATGGAGGTCTTCCCTGGTCACCTTGCTCGTAGGCAGCTCTGCCAGGGCCAGATGGCCTCTCCCCGCAGTCTAGCCTGGTTTTTATGACATGGAAAAACCCTGGACGGTGGAAAGGCACAGGAGGAGGGCCCTCGAGAAACAAAGTGAGCATCTTGAATGAGTACGTGAACTCTGGTCCATCACAAGGGGCCAGCCACTGCTGCCTAGGGGAAGAGAAGTGTCCTCAGAACATCTCAGCGTCCAGTGTGGGTAGAAGGGCTGGGGGTTCATAGTTGGAAATAGCTCCCTCTACGTGGCCTTTTGCCTCCAAAACGTTAGACCAACCACCTGGGCGCTCATCCGTCCTCCCTAGGCCAGACCGTCCCTCCCCTCGTCCTCCTGGCCTCCCACAGACTCTTAGGACACCGAGGGTGGCCTTTGGCCTCAGAACCTGTGAAAAGAAACAATAGTATGGTTTTACAGATGGAGAGGAGAAGTGGTATTTGCCAAAAGATATTCAGGATTTTAAAAATGTCTTTATTAAAATCCTATCTGTGATGTGGGTGACATGAAATGAGGTATCTTCCTGCTCTGCCACCCCCATACCCTAACAAATGAGAACACCTCGGGTGGAAATATCCTGCCGACTTTTCCTTCTAAAAGACGGTCTTCCTCTGCCCGCAGCACGTGCCCCTGCAGACCCTGTTGAAGTTCATGGTGGACATCGCCCTGGGAATGGAGTATCTGAGCAACAAAAATTTTCTTCATCGGGATTTAGCTGCTCGGAACTGCATGTGAGTGTCCCGGGTCATCCTAGAGGGCGCTGGACTTCTGGCGTTTGATCTTTGTGAGTCTGGGGAGTGGCCTATTGCTGACCAGGAGGAAGTGAGATTGGAAGGGACAGCGGGGCCTGCTCTGGGCGGGGTCTCCATGGCCCCGGTTCTGGTGGGGTTTTGCTTGGGGGATTCATGTCTGCCTGAACCCAGGGTCTGGTTGGCCTCTAGAGCGCTCTCATATGTTGGCGTCTATTTCCACCCTGTCACTTGCATGGTCCTTCCCATGGTCACCAGCTAGCTTTGGACCTGGATCCCTGTGTGAGTCACCTGACTTACATGACACCATGACAATAAAGACATGATGACGGGGAATGGTAAAGGTCATGTCCCGTGTTCGTGCAGTTTCCCAGTGAAGGAGCCTTGTACCTTGAACCCCGGGAGCTTTGCCCTTACAGCGGGCGAGGGTCTACCCTACAAGAACCTGGACTTGAGTCCACCCCTCTGATTCAGCTTGACGGAGACATCATCTGTGACAAACCTGCACAGACAATAACTGTGATCGTTGGTTTTGTCACTGTGTTTTTTTTATTTATTTTTTTAGATGTTGATAGACCTTTACTTTATTCATTTATTTATATTCTGTGCTGAGAATCGAACCCAGGGCCTCACACGTGCCAGGCAAGCGCTCTGCCACTGAGCCACAGCCCAGCCTGTCACTCTTTTTTCTTTAAATACTTCTTCTGCCATGAAGGAAGAATCATGAAGACTTATTTCGCTCTTAACATTTCCTTTCTCCTTTTCCTACCAGCTGCAGTGACCAGCTGTCCTGTTTGCCCTAGACTGAGATTTCCCAGAGTGTGATGTGCCACCTCCAGTTTTCAAATCAGTGTCAGGCAAACAGGGACAAGTTAGTCACCCACCTCCAGTTCTCTTCCAGCTCCCCACGTTCTCCCGTTGCCTCTCCTCCCTTCTTCTTTTCCTCCTTTTCTCTCGGACCTGTTTTAATAGCTTGGGCTGTAAATGCAATCGTGTCCCTTTCATTTTTCAGTTAATTCCTCACACACCCATCTCACTGTGTTAGCAAGAAGTCCCGCATCTTGAGCCAGCCCGGTGGTGCACGCTTGCAATCCCAGTGATTGGGGAGGCTAAGGCAGGAGAATCACAAGTTCAAGGCCAGCCTCAGCAACTCAGCAAGACCCTTAGCAACTTAGGAAGACTCTGTTTCAAAATGAAAAATAAAGAGGGGCTGGGGATGTGGCTCCATGGTTAAGTGCCCCGGGGTTCAATCCATAGTGCAAAAACAGGACAAAAATCCGGCATCTCTTGTTCGGTTTACTGCCCTGCCTCTGGTGCTTGCTTAGCTCACGGGGCCAGCATGGCTTCAGGACACCAGGCAGGACAGCTAGTGGGGCTCTAGCTCAGTCCACCAGGGCCTGGGCTTTGAGCTCTGGTGCTACATCTCTGTCCCCTCCAGTGTTTCCTGCCACTGGGCACAGCCCTTGCTGGGCTGGTCCCCACGCAGGCCAGAGTGATGCAAGATGGTAACCCCTCTGGTCCCCTCTCTTGTTGTGCTTTGGCCCAAGCAGGACCCCTCAGCTTCACGGGGTCCTGTGTCTTCTTCGGTCACTTACAAATGTTTTCCATGGCGTCTGTGTCGACCTGGGGTGAAAGGTCTGCTTCCAAGGTTGCTGAGGACACAGACTTGCTCTCTGCAGGTTACGAGATGACATGACCGTCTGCGTGGCGGACTTTGGCCTCTCCAAGAAGATTTACAGTGGTGATTACTACCGCCAAGGCCGCATCGCCAAGATGCCCGTGAAGTGGATCGCCATGGAGAGCCTCGCCGACCGAGTCTACACCAGCAAAAGTGACGTGGTGGGTACAAACACGGCTCTGCCTGGGCCCCAGTGCAAAGATGGGGATGCATGGGAAGAAATGACAGAGGCCGCCTGGGCATTGTGCTCTTTGATAATCAGCATTGGGAGCGTGCTGGCCCCTCACTTTAATTTCATGCTAAATCTTTTAATCCAGGCAGAACAGTCAAGCCTAGTGGTCTGTGCTCTGCATGGGACCTTCCTGATTCCCATTTTCCTTTTAAGGAAGAATGAGCTCCTGCCTGCAGCTGAGACGTCTCATGTTCACATTGAGGGGGATGAGCTCAGGCAGGGGCTCTTTGGAACCCCTGTGTTGTGTGATTACACCCTGTGCCCCAGGTTAGGAAAAGCCATGCCCACAGCCACCCAGAGCTGGCCACTAGGCAAGACGAGGCTGCGTCTGCCTCTGTGGCATTTTCCAGCACAGCTTTCGTAAAAGCGAGGAGCTGTGTCACTCCGACCCCACGGTTTTGCAGGGTCGGGAGACAATGGGTCTCAGACATAATTGGCAGCTTTGTGCACCATCTTTAGCTCTTCAAGGAAATGACCTTTCCCGATGAAAAAGTCCATTCAGCCTCTGTGGAAGGACTTCGTGTCCTGACTCCTTGCCGCTTTGTTCGCAGTGGGCATTTGGCGTGACCATGTGGGAAATAGCAACGCGGGGAATGACTCCCTACCCCGGCGTCCAGAACCACGAGATGTATGACTACCTTCTCCACGGCCACAGGCTGAAGCAGCCCGAGGACTGCTTGGACGACCTGTGAGTAGGGTCTCTGGGTCACTGGGCAGTACGCAGAGATGGGGTGGAGGGACGCAGCCGTGGGGGCTGGCTGTTAGCAGGTGGGCATGCAGAGCATGGCCAGCGGCCGTTCCTAGTGTGGGAGCGGTCCATGAGCACCCCCAGGGATGTGGCTCACTCTTCCAGATGGTCTCAGCCTCGACCAGTGGACACATCCAAACAGGGCAACCGCATGTTCCCAAACTCCTAAGGCACCTCCAAGAAATACATCCCATCAGTAAACAGATTTCTTCCATGGTGCTTGAGGTTCTAGAATGGACTCTTGGGTCCAGTGTCCTTCTGTTTCTACACAGCATGTCAGACACACCCATTACGTCCATATCTTTTGTCAGTAAACTTAGAAATCTGAGCCCATGACTTTGAGATGGGCTGGTCGTCAGAATGGTCTGGGGATGGTCTAACACTGCAGCTTCTCAGGCTGGAGATTGTGATGCTCTTGGTACAAACCGGGACTAGAAATGTGTGCTTCAAGATGCTCCCTGACGCCACTGTGAGTGCTCCCAGCTCCTGCCACGGTGCGTGTCCCATCCCCACAGGTCCCTGTTTATCTTCAAGGTGAGGCACTTTGGGGAAGAGACCCTGGCCCTGGGTCAGAACAGGCTGGGCTACCTCCTAACTAACCACGTGTGACCATGACAATGGACTTGACCTCTCTGTGCTTCATTTCATCAGCCGCAGGAACAGTTAGCTAGATGGTCTTCAGAGAGCTATGATAAAGGCTCAATAAGACAATGGACGGTGCCTGGCGTGGGGACCACAGCTGGGATTCCAGCCACTGGGGAGGCTGAGGCAGGAGGATGGCAAGTCCAAGGCCAGCCTCAGCAACTCAGCAAGACCCTGTCTCAAAATTAAAAAATAAAAAATAAAAAGGGCTGGGGATGCAGCTCAGTGGCCGAGCACTCCTGGGTTAACCCCCAACAAGAAAAGAAGCAGCGTGTGGAGGGTTCACCTATGGGAGGCTCACAGAGGAAGTGTTCACCTAATGCCAGTTGTTACAGCAGCACTGCAAATCTATCCCCCAAGCACCTTGCCGCCCTGTCCAAAGTAGTGACCTGTAGTGCTGCCCATGTCTCAGTGACTTGTCCCTTTGTGGCACCGAGTCTGCCCTGTGCAGTGAGGGCCATGGCTTGGAGAGGGACATTCTCCCCATAGTCAGCAGGAACATTTCAGGAGCCTGGCCCTGCGCTGGCGTTGCCCTGGGACGCCATCGTGGGCGCTGGGGCAGGGAGCATGTGCAGGACCCAGAGCCGCCCCACTCAGCCCCTGTCGCTCCCAAGGGAGGGAGGCCAGGCAGCCCCCCAGGCCTGTCTAAGGCAAACAGAAGGAAACGGTTTCCGCCCAAGCCCCCACCCCGCCGGTGGTCACCGTGGTCTGACACTGTGAGTCTCTGAGAGAATCCTGAAGTTCTGAGTGGATCGGTCCCAGGGCTCCATGTTGAGGAGTTGTTTGCTTCTGGAAGCGCCCCTACCGTCGGTGGCACAGCACTGACTGGGAGAGTTTCACCAGGATGTCTCCCTTAACTGTCCCCAAAGCAGTTGACCTTCATGGTACTTAGCTTGGGTCTTTGCAAGGCCTGAGCTGTGTCCCATTTTGACTCTGAGATGTCTCCATAGACCCAGACTCTGCGGAACTGCAGAGTCACTGTTCTTTGAAACGTTACGGTGGCAGAGTTAGCACCTGCGGTGTGGCTGTGGAGCCAGGCGGGGACACATAGGCCACTGTCCCCACATCTGGATGCTGGCTAGCAAAAGTGTCCCCCCACCCCCAAGGAGACCCCTGTGCTTCCTCCAGGAGCATTTCCTTTTAAAAGCCAAAGGAATATCCTAAGCTTCTCATCCAGGATGCTGTCTGGACTCGGCCAGGATGAACTCGCTCCGGTTTAGTTGCTCTTTGGTTTTTTCAAGTCAACTCTGAAACATAGCCATGTCAATCACAGAGCTGTCAATCACACTGCTCCCAAGTCCTGCCCTTCACAGGCCACTCCTCCCCACACCCTGCAGGCCCTGCTCCCCACTCCCGGGACGCTACTCTCTGATGCCTTGGGGACCTCTGTGGGACATCTCCCCAGCTGAGCTGGTCATGTCCCCACAGCCCTCAGGACCCTCCCACCAACTGGTTGGCACCATGGTGTGTGGCACTGGTACTGGTCCTGCTACCTGGCATGACACTTAGGAGCTACCTCGTTTTATCCTTGTCCTGCTCGGTCCCATCCGCCTTCAGATGTCCTCCAGATCCCTGTCCTCCTCTGTTCCCATCACCAATACTGTCAGACCATAGAATCCAAGGCCTGGACAGGGCCTGAGCTCATCTGCTCCCTGTCCTGCGTCACAGTGGTGTCACAGCAGAAATAAGTGGGTAACCATGCGTGGTACCTGTCCTCTCTCCTTCCCCCTGCCCCCAGGCCCCTAGGACATGCTGGAGGGCAATCAGAGTGACCTCTGTAAAGTATAATCTGAGGCTGGGTGTGGCTCAGTGGTACAGCTCTAGATTCCCATGCATGAGGCCCTGGATTTGATCCCCAGCACCATAAACAAATAAATAATAAATTTATAAGCTGATCGTGGAATGCTTCTAGACATGACCTTTCCACGTTCCCATTGCCTTTAGGGTCAACCCCAAATTCAGGATCTGACCTGTGTCAGGCAGGGTGTTTGAGTGGTTAGGAAGCTGGGCTGTGGCGCTGGGCACCCCTTGATCTGATCGAGGGCCTCCCCCTGTCGGGTTCTTCCTTTGAGTGGGGTCGTGTACCTGTGTGGTGGGTGGCTGGCCAAGGGAGCAAGCTGTTGTCCACAGATACATGCCGCACAACGGCTTGAGCTGTCAACGCTAAGGACAGGTCAGTGGTAGGAGCAGGCAGCTGGTGTCCCAGGGGCTGGCGCTCACTGTTAGTGGAACCTAAGCTGGACTCTCTCTTCACACCTTCCCACGGGCTGCAGGGAGGAGTGAAGGCTGAGGCACCCAGCCCACGCTTGGCCGCACCCCAGAAATGCTGGCTCTGGGTCCTCATCAGGGTTCCACCCTAGGCTCCCCCCACCCGTCACAGCGCTGCCTTGTCCTGTATACGCCCACCTTTCCCGCGGCTAACCTCCAGCACCTGGGCACCCAGGCCCCGGCTGCCTGTGTGCACCAAGGACCCATTGCACACCACCTGCCCCTCGTGGAAGCCCCCTTTACCTGCTGACCCCCCCGTTCCTCCACTTCTACCCAACATCAGCCAGTCCCAGAAAAGAAAAAGGCTGAGAGTCTCCGTGGGCCGAGCAGCCAAGCTGGGATCAGGCCTGACTGGGCAGGGTAGAGACGCGCACCCAGCCAAGGAAGCTGGGGACATTTCTCAGCAGGCTCCCAACACTGCTGTCCGTCATCCTCAGATTGAACAACTATGAGTAAATTCAGAAATGCATACAATTAGCAAGTTAATCTGATGGCATTTTAAAAATTATAGCAAAATATGCATAACATGGTCCATCTTAAACATGTGGCATCCGACTCAGTAGCAGTGTGTGACCCAGGTCACCCATCTCCTGAGCACTCCTCATCCTGCACAGCTGGAACTCTGTGCCCATTGAACAGTCCTCTGGCAACCTATAGGGCCACATCTTTTGTAAAATGTGAACCGAAGAACAAAAATGACCACTTCCAGTGGCAATGACCAAACGTTTCTTTTTTCATCCATAAAATCTAACTCACCCAATGTCCCAGCCTCCTCTTCCCCACCAGGGCTGGCATCTTGTCAATCACCTTGATCCACGCCCTGAAATCTCCCTTGTATAGGAACAGGAGAAACTGTACACATGCTCACTGTGTCTGTAAATGTTGTATTTATGTTTCGTTAAGTATTGAATACAAAAGGAAAATAAGTCCTAAACGATATCACTGCTCTTCTCTGTGGGGGAGGAAGACAGATTAGACACTTTGTCCTGAAACGTGGAATCAAAGGAAGTGAGTTGCATAGCAGCAGCCCCTCGATGGAGCAATGAAAAGGACATTCTGTCCCCGGGGATCGAGTCTCTCAAAGCTCATCTCAGGCTGCAAACAGGAAAGGCTCTGTGGAAAACAGAGTCATGCAAATTGATTTGTACCATGAAAACCTCAAAAATACAAACAAAAATTGACTGCCAAGTCTAAATGACCATCTACTGAGGGTAAAACAGGGAAACTAAAAAGAACTCCTAAGCCTAAGATGAGGATCAGGACTAGGGGACTGGGGAAGGTGCCCGGGGTCATCTCAGGGTCCTGTGCCCAGCCTCAGGGCCCTTATGTGCCGTGCTCTGAGAATCTCCACCTCCTGGAGGCGCGTGCCAGTGTCCACAAAGGCTCAGAAAGCAGACAGATGAGAAGAGCTGTTCCTCGCCTGCATCAGTGAGCGCTGTGGGCGCCAGAGGAGCGCCTGTCAGTGGAGTGGGCCAGAGGCCAGCAGGATGGGATTCAGTGTGAAATATCGGAACCGCACCTTTCTATCCCTGAGATACAGTAGTCTACTGCCCACATTAGATGGAATGGGGTGAGTGACACTAACGGTGCCAGGAGGTCATGCTCTCTCTCTTGCGGCTTTCAGGTATGAAATAATGTACTCCTGCTGGAGCACTGACCCCCTGGACCGACCCACCTTCTCGGCGCTGAGGCTCCAGCTGGAGAAGCTCTTGGAGAGTCTGCCTGAGGCGCAGGACAAGGCGGACATCATCTACGTCAACACCCAGCCGCTGGAGGGCCCCGAGGGCCTGGCCGGGGAGCCGCCTCCCGCTCCGCTGGACATGCACATGGACCCCGATGCCATCGTGGCTTCTTGCACCTCCGCCGTCAGCGTGGTCACCGCGGACGTTCATGAGAAGAGCCCGCAGGAGGAAAGGTACATCCTGAACGGGGGCAGCGAGGAGTGGGACGATCTGGCTGGAAGGAACGGAGTTTTACCGGAGGACAAACTCGTGAGGAATGGGGTCTCCTGGTCCCACGGTAGCACGCCGCCCCTGGGGGACCCATCGTCCGATGAACTGCTGTTCGCAGACGACTCCTCCAGAGACTCAGAACTCCCTGTGTGAGGCGGCCAGAGGGGAGACGGCGGGAATCAAGTAGGGGCCCACGTCGGGGGACCCAGCGCCTTTGCAAGTCAACCCCACGGCCCCCCAGCACCGCAGGATATCACCAAGTGAATCTCCATTCCGATCCCTAGGAGGGCCGAGTGCAGCCCAGTGGCAGAGCACATGCTAGCCTGTCCGAGGCGCTGGGTTCCATCCTCAGCACTCCCCCAAAATGAAAATACGTAATATATATTTATTTAAAAGAGGAAAAATATATATATATGTATATTGTGAAAAGAGAGAATGTTATATTTTGATAAAAGAAGACTCCCTTCATTTCACTTACCTTGCAGATCTTAAAAGCTGAGCTCCTGCTAGTCCTCGATGATCGCTTTTGTACAGAGTTGGTTGTTTTTTTAAAGTCCTTTTCATGACTCTGAAGTGTAAATATATTTGTAAAATGAAATGCCAAATTTGACTTTGCTTCTAACGTCTTCCTGAGAAATCTGATGTGCCTCTGTGAATCGTGTGATTCATTTAATATTTAAATTTTTGTAACTGATTAATTTTCTGATGGGACTTTCTAATAAAACATGAACGCAGAGGGACGCGTTGGGCTTCCTTAAGACCCAGAGAGACACGGTCCCCCAGGCTCGGTGCCTCCTTGAAGGGATGTGCTGACGGCTGGTCTCCCAGGAGTTGTTCTGACTGTTCTTGACAGTGTGCTTTAGAGATTTAGAAAAACCACCCCAAGAGTCCACGGATGAGAGCTACAAAATAATAAAGGGTTAAAAAACACAACCTGATGGGAGAGATTTTAGGTAATCGAGAAGGGAACTGATAGGTGAGGAGGCACTTCTGTGTTTGGGAGACGCCTAGTTCTAGAACTCAGCACACCCTGGTCCACATCCTGCCACTTCATGATAGCAGGGCTCTTGTCATGTTTCAGGCACTTTATGTGTGTCATTACGCCGTGGGTACAGTGCCAGCGTCATGTTTAGGTCAGAAAACCAAGACCTGGAAAGATTAAGTGCCCTAGAGAGTGGTAGAGCTAAAATTTAGGACATCTGATTCAGGATATGATTTGAGGCAGGTGCACATTACTACAACTAAATACCTGAGGCAATTCACTTACAAAGAGTAAAGGTTTGTGTAGCTCACGATCTGGAGATTCAGATTCAAGATGGGGCTGCACAGTGGTTAGGCCCCTGATGAGGGTGCAGTGGCCATGGTAAGAGCACATGGCAGGTCAAGTGCACACATCATGAACTAGGAATTAGAGAGGGGACAGGTCAGGGTCACACAGACCCCTTTAGGGACACTCCCCCAATGACCTAAGGCCCATCTCCCACAGGTTCCATCACCTCCCAGTAGCAGCACCCTGGGGACCAAGCCTTTAACAAATGGACTTTGGGGGGACATTATCCAAATCAAAGTAGGGGGTCACTCCAGATCCTCGGACCTTCCAGTTTTATTTAGTAAACAGATGTCCTTACCACATGCCAGGTAAGACACAACCATCATTGAATCCTCAGGACAACTCCAACTGGTAGGTACTGCCAATGTCCCTGCTCCACAGCTGGTCAGGCTGGGGCTGGAAGAGGTCATTTACCACCAGGCAGTGGATCCATCAATGCCCCTGGGGCAGCTCAGCAGGCCCAGGCCAGGGCATCCCCAGAACCATCTGCTCCCCACTCGTGAGCAGGCTCACTCAGGCCCCTGTAGACATCAGGGACCAGCGTCTACACGGGTCAGGGGTCCAGCTGCCACAGCCCTGTCCTGGCTCCCCATCGCCTGCTCCTCTCTAACTGCAAAATGTTCCAAAGGGTTTGGAAACAATCTGCATAGTTATAAGAAATGCCAGCGTTATCTTGGATCAGTGAAAGCAGGGGAAAGGCAGCTAGGTCCCACCAAGATATTCATATTGTTGAGAATTTTTGAACATTCATTTAATTTTTGGGTGAGGGGGTACTGGGATTGAACCCAGAGGCCCTATACCACTGAGCCGCATCCCCAGACCTTTTCATTTTTTATTTTGAGACACGGTCTCACTAAGTTGCTTAGGGCCCCCCTAAATTGCTGAGACTGTCCTTGAACTCCCGCCTCAGCCTCTTGAGTGGCTAGGATTACAGGCATGCATGCCCACTGTAAATGATCATTTTACCACCATGCCCACTGTAAATGATCATTTTTAAAAATCAATAAAACATCAGATTCAATCCCTAGTTTTATCAGAATAAAACATCCTTGTGCAAAGTTTCTTGTCGATGTCATCAGGGATTTGAAGGACTTTCTGTTAAAGGCTTCATCAGGAGTTCAGGGTGGCTAGGTTAGATCAAAAACCCGGGGATGTGGCTGGAGATGTGGCTCAAGCGGTAGCGCGCTCGCCTGGCAGGCGTGCGACCC